TCACCTCAACAAGCAGCTGCTGGAGAACCCGGCCTTGGGTGGCTGAGATCAGGCTTCTCTGTCCCTTGACAGGAGCCTGTTTCAGGCAATCACTGGCTAATGCAGGGGAGGGGCGTCTGCCAGGTGACCTGGCTTGGCAGGGAAGACAACACTGAGTTGGAATTGTATTTTTCTCATTTTCTGAAGTAGATCCTTGAGGCACCAGCCTCTCTATGGTACTGGTCATTATGGGTGGCTAAACTGAGCATTTCTTTCCATAAAATGGGAACAGACTCCTGGGGAGTCAACACCTGCCCTTCTCTTGCCTCGACTTCTGGTTATCCATGCTGGGACGTTTCTCTCAGAGCCAGGTCTTTAAAAAGCAGAATTGGCCTGGACTCTAATAGCAAGTTTTGACTCCCTGGGTTTTGAGCAGCTCTTCTGGAGGTCAGAGAACCCTTTCTTAGCTTCTTTGCTAAAGAGTTTCTAAATCCTAGACAATGAGATTTCAATTATTCTAGGTCCCCAAGGTCAGAGGTGACATTGTCCTCCTTTGGCACCATTTCCAATATGGGTTCATGAGGCTAAAACCCTGACCACCAGGGTTCCACACACACACCTAACCTAAATCCTCTATTTCTCTGTCTCTGGGAGTGGTGGGGTGGATCAACTGTCCCCGTAGAACAGCCACCATCCCCTGCTGACTTCCAGTTTCCTCCTCAGGGTGTTCTAATCCTCACAAGGACATGACTTTGCCACAGGAAGGCACACTCCAGCAGGTGCCCTCCTGCCTTCAGCTGGTCAGTCCTGGATGGAGAAGGGCTATGAGGAAGTGATAGGCACACAGAATTTGGAGCCAGGGAAAAAGAGGAAGGTAAATGACACAAACTTGCACCTGACCTTGATTATTCTAGTTAAAGGAAAGCCTGAGGTTAGGAAGCGGGAAGAGGGATATGCCTAAGAGCTGCTGAACCAAAGCAGGGGAAAGTTCACGAATCAGGCAGAAACCCAGGAAAAATTCTCCCTCTTCTCAAGACCCAAAGAACTGTCTAGAATCAGGCAGAAAGGAGACAGCTGGCATTCTTTCTGCTTAATGTGTCTATGCAATAGTTTTCACATAGTGAAAAACTATTGAAGATCAAGGTGTGGAAATAGAAGAGACAGGGCTAGTCAGAAGAAAAATGAAGCTTGCCAAATTTCAGAATGTAACTGCACTCCTTCAAGTCCCTTGGGTCCTCAGTCACTGGATGCTTTTCTCTTGGCTCTCAGGGGCTGTCAGAAGAATGACATGGTGGAGAGTAGACATACTCAATCCGTTGTGGATGTGGCTCACTGGTTTCAAAGGGGTCCCCTCTCCATCGTAAGTACTTCTTGCACCAGTCCATCTTGGTGACAAGCACCAAGTGCCAGTCTTACACTAAGCCAAGCTAAGAAACACTCATTGCCCTGGAGAGGGAATGCTCATTTGCACCCCTTTCCTTCCTGGCACCAAAGGGCAAGGATGACATGTTCCCGATGATGCCACTCTTTATTTTATTTTTATATTTTGGTAGTACTGGGGACTGAACCAATGGATGCTCTATCACTGAGCTACAACCCCCAGCCCCTGCCCTTTTTAGTGTTTATTTTGAGACCAGATCTCACGAACTGATTTATGGAGGCTGGACTCTAACCTGTGATCTTCCTGCCTCAGCTTCCTGCGTTGCTAGGATTACAGGCCTGTGCCACCATGCCTATCTCTGCTGATGCCATTCTTGTCAGGTGCAGGGAGAAGATCATTCTAGTCTTCCTCCCTGTGTTGGCTATGGAGAAGGCAGACCATGCAGGTGAGGGTGAAGGACAGGGGAACCTCACTGGTGTGTGTGTGTGTGTGTGTGTGTGTTGCTGGGGATTGAACCCAGAGCCTTGTGCATGCAAGACTGTGGAACCACATTGGGTAGGACACAAGGAGCTGTCAGGAGCCCAGCCTGCAGCCCATGCCATTGCACAATGACACTTGGTGACAAAGGCTGGAAATTCAAAAGGAATAGAGAGGCAAAAGGAAAAGGCTGAGTGTGCATGTAGGTGCATACCTGTGTAGGATCAATCAAAACTCTGAATTTCTATCTAGGGGCCAAATGTAAGCAAGAACCAGATATCAATTGAAAAGGGCTCCCCTCTCCATCATAACCACAATCTCAGAAATTTTGGGAAACTGGATAAAGAATGACACCTAATCTTAATTTCTAGAAGACCTTGTCAGTACTGAAAGGAACCATGAGTGTCTGGGTGGGCTGGGTGTGGAAAGCCATGAAGAAGCAATGTTTCTAGACTCTGGTTAACTCAAGAGTATTGGGTGCATTTTTCCATGTTTTCATGAATCAGTTCGTGAGAGTGCAACTCATCTTCACCAAGGAATGTGCTGCCCCCTTCCTGCAATTTCTAACCAGCGGGTAAATTCTGAGTTAACTGTTGGTCTATTTTCTCCCAAACAGTCAACTATCACTTTTCAACTATCCTTGGTGTAATTTAAAGACACAGCACTAACAGGGTGATGCTCCAGGTAAGTGCCAAAGAGCATAAGAGGTGCCCCCACAAAATCTATTTCCTCCTCCACTGTGAATTCCTGATGCTCTCTCCCTTGTTGGGTCCCCCCTTCACTGCCACATAGTTAGAGTAGGTCTGGAGGGACTCCTGCTCTAGAGTGAGGAAAGGATGAAGTGAGTCTGACAGGAAGTGACTTCTGTAAGGATCAAGAATTCACCCAATTTCCTCTTTCTAGCAGGGCTAGCTACAATTGGGTAGACCAGTTGTCTGAAGGGAGGCTACCCCTCCCCACCCACTAGCCTGACCTTAATTTCATCCTCTGTCAGTGTGGGAGTTACTAAGGAATCCAAACCTTTGTGCTGTGGGAGTGACCAGAAAAGCCAGCCACCTCTTCCTAGGGGGATGCTGAAGCCTCACTGCACATCATGGGGAAGCTGCTCTTGGACAAGTACTGAGTCAGAGAACCACAGCAGGGAGGAGAGAGTAAAGACCTGAATGAGAGGATGTCCTGGTCTCTCAAAGCAAGACGTGGTATGCGTATAGCTATCACAGGAGTTTGGAAGAATTGAGGGAAATGGAAGTGAACACAAGATATGCAAAACAGTCATGTCTGAACCTGTTTGTGGATAGCAGAGTAATGACTTATGCCGGGGATACCTTTGTGCATTGTACTAGTGAAAAGAAAAATCCTTCCCTTTCCCCCAACCACACATAGAAAAGCACTTGAGTTCAAAGGTAAAGCTTGTCACACTCCAAATACAAAATGATTTACTTTACATGCAGCAAAATATACAAGAAGTGATTCAAAAACAAACTTAATTCATTATATTCGCTTGGCACAATTGCAATTCAGTTTTAAAAAAATATTTGAAAAATACTGAAACTGACCTGAATTCAAGTATAACGGTTTCTTCAACAGAAACATTATCAATGCAATAAAACATTACACGGAATATATCGAAGCAAAATGCCTTCTTGAGTTTTTTTTTCTTAAATTTCTGTGTTTTTTTTAAATACAGTTCTAATGCCAACACGACTCACAATTGTATTTTTAAAATGAATATTATTGCATTGTTTTTGCATATCTTGTGGGACAGAAAATGCAAAGAGTTACTGATTCCCGTTTCAGAAGCAGAGACAGTGGTTTGTTTTTGCTTTCAAATGGCCCTAGATTCAGATCTCCCCACAGTTAGGCCAGAAAGGGGAAATTCTGCACTCACCTGTGTGCATGGGCACACTGAGTGGGTGCATATACACACGTACAACATAGACACATGCACACAGACAACCCACTACACACACACACGCCCAACACACACTCTCTCATACTTCCTCTCTCCTGCACCCACTAACACACCCAGCGTAAGGAAACCAACCCCAATCGCCCGTTTGTGCAAGACCTATCAAGTGCATTGCCAATTACCTTTAAATTATAAAACCAAACCAAACCAGAAAGAAAAATTGTTACTACCTAAGGAAATTATAACAAATTATAGGGCATACACGATGGCTGGTAAAACTCTCCTACAGTGGCTATTGAACCCTCCCTCAATGGAAAAAGGAAATCTGCAACTGTTTAACGAATACAGTAAAACCAAACCTGGTTTACAGATGCAAAAGTGAAAACGGTAAGGTGGGTGGCTACAAAACTTGTAAACGCTCCTCTTCCTTCCCCCCGCCCCCCCCCCCCCGGAAAAAAAAAAAAAAAAAAAAAAAAAAAAAAAAAAAAAAGAAAAAAGAAAAACTGCAACATGCTGTCAAGAAAAATGTCAAACCACAAAACAAAAGAGCGCTCAAGGGAAGCTCAGCACCACCTCCTTCGGTGAGAGCTGGCGGCCCCATCCCCGGGCAGCGCCAGCTCGGTCCTGTCCTGGCTCGCGCTGACGCTGGCCGGGCTCTGGTCTGCAGCTCGCGTGGCTTGTGCAGGCAAAAGGATCCTGTCGCGGAGAGCGGAGGTGGCCGGGGCTGCAGCCGCGGGACTCGGGGTGAAGCTGCCACTCTGCCCGCGTCCCGGGCCCTGCGCGCCTGTCCCCCAGCGCTGCTGTCTCCTCCGCTCTTCCCTCTCCAGTAGGCTGGGCTCTTGCTAGAAGTCACACCCCTCTCCTTCTCCAAATGCACAGGGCCTGGCTCTATGGGGACAGTGAGGCTCATACAGAATGTGTGCAAATGATTTTTTACAAGCGAAGTTGAAAGACACCCGTTTGCTCGAGGGTCCTTTCTGAGCGAGCCGCCGCAGGGAGTGTAGGTCCTCTCGGGCCCCGGAGGCGACGCCGGACCCGGCGCAGGGTTGACAGCGCAGGGCGGCGCGTGGGCCTTGCTCGCCGCCGAGATTCTTCTGCCCGCTTCTCGCCTGTCGCTCGGTGGACACACACTGCCTCGCGGCTTCTCTTCCCCCTGAAAAGCGGGCTCTCACACCACCCAGCTCTGCGTCTTGTCCCAACAGAAATGAATGAAGACGCTGTTCCGGTTAACTCCAGGTCACGAGAACAGTGAGGCACTTCTGAAACGAACCCATTAGGAACATTGAAACAAATAAAAAACCCGGCGTCTCCCAGCCCTGCGACTACAGGCTGCTGACGTAGACCCTGCTGTCCTGGAGCTCCTCCTCGCTCCGGCCTCGCCCCAGGGCGCGCGCACAGCTCCCGTCCTCCTCGCCGCCCGCCCTGTCCTGCCCCGGGTCCCTGCAGTTCACAAAAGGTAGTAGGGTGCCATTGGGGCTCTGCTGGGCGCCCCCACTGAGGATGCTGTCGGCCGCGTTCTCCATCTCCTCTATTGTCATGTCGCAGGCGTCCGCCAGCTCCTGGGTCGTGACCTCGATGAACTTGGGATCTTGAGCAAACTGCCCCAGTCCTTCTGAAATCAAGACCTGTGGGGGAGAGATGGAGAGAACAATGTCAGCCTCTTCAATGGCTTCCTCCGGATTTATTTCTCTCATTCCCTTAGGCGCTCTTCCTATGAAGAGGTTTTTTTTTAGCAAGCTGGTCTTCCTGGTCTCCTTTGATTTTGTTCCAGTATGTCAAAGCTCCCCTAAAATGTGGTGCCAGGCAGAGGAGAGTGGAATTGAGATTCTCGTGCTAAAACAGTGACTCCCAATCCTGGTTGTATATTAGAATTATTAAAGAGCTTTGGAAAAATCTGTTTGTCATAGGTTTCCAGAGCTTTGTCAGTGACCCTCCTGAGCAGTCAGGGCAGAGAACCAAGGATCTTCACCCTCTATGCACAAAAGCAGCCGGAGCTCATGTATGTGTTGTGAGTAGTCACAGCACATGGTTGGGCTTTTCAGGGTTCACTGCCTGTAGCAGGACCCATCACTTATTGGTCTCTTTCTCCCTCTGCATCGCCAAGCCTCAACAAAGCCAGCGGCATCCCATAATGATCTGCACTCTGGACCCTTTTGCAGGTCCTGAGAAGGAAGGTCTTTCTATTCAGAGACCTGACATCCAATGATCCAGGAAAGAACCCGGTGTTTCTCCATGCCAAGACCCTTTGCTGCCCTTGGCTTCTCCCTCCCCCTGTTGGTGGTGCCACTTGGATTCACCTACCGCTTCTACCAGGCTGCTGGCGCTGCCATGGAACTGCCTCCCTGGGGCCGCAGCCTGAGTGGGCACCGTGAGGGAGACCGGCCGGGCTCTCCTGATGGTGTTGCTGCCCCCACCACAGGAGGTGGTCTCCTCAGACCAGGAACTACAGTGGATGGACGGGAAGCTGCTGTTGAGTTTTTCGATGGACTCGGCTCCTTCCAGCCTTAGGGTTGGGATGGGCTGTGGGGGCCAGGCTCGGGTACCAGGTGTGGCAGGGGGTGTGGCACATGGCCTGGGGAACATGGTGGGGGAATGGCTTCTCTGGAGGAGGGGGCTCAGGCCCGCCACTGCCAATGCCTGTGGACACACAAAGAGCAGAGTTATTGGGAATGGTCAGGCCCTAAGCAAGGGAGGCCTCTGCCTTCTAAGCAGCTTTGCAACTGTTAATTTCCAATGTGTTCCACATGTTGGAATCCACACTGCCACCATCTTTACCCACTGAATTCTATCTCTCTGAGACCTGGCATAAGTTTCAACAATTTCAAGATATATTTTATGAGCATCTCAATCTGAAGTGATGGCTTTTTTGTAGCTTTGGAAAGCTACAATTGTGTTGAATCAAGATGGTCTGCTATTTAGGCTGTTCCTGACACCCTTTAGCTTTGAATTCTCTTGCTCTTGGTTTTCTCATCAGTAGAGTAGAGAATAATGATGATTCTACCATCTTGCATCATCTCCATTCATCTACCTGTGGGGTCAGTGAGAAATTTAAGTGAATTAAGGACCGAGAAGTACAATGTCCATCTTAAAGAGCTAGACAAAACAAGTAGTTGTTGCTTCAATTTTTACCATGACTCAGGTCGCTAACAATGCCCTCCCACTGTCTAGCTCAGGCTCTCTTTGAATTACTGTTTAAATCTTATACTCTGTTGTAACTGAGTGATTGGTGTGTTTGCATCCTCTGTCCCCAGTGTTCACAAGCATCCCTAGGTCAGGGACCATGGCTTGCTCGGCATTGTCAGTTGCTTGGATGTGATGTGTTCATGGGAGAGCATGACACTCGGTGGTGGTGGTGGGAAAGTCCAGTTCTGAGAAGCAGAGAAGATGAGAACATAGGGTGGGAGGTGACAGAAAGGCACAAAGAGGAGTCTACAAATAAAGAAAAAAAACTTGCCTACCAGCATGATGAAGGCAGACAGATGAAATCAAGTTCTAGAAATCATTTAAAATAGCACACACAGGGTCCCCACATCCTGCCACCCTCCCTTCCCCAGCTCACATGGTTCCCAGCCTAGGACTTCTGGGTCCCTGGAGACCTGAGGGAAGTATGAGGCACTATATTACAGAATGCCCAGTGGAAACCATCCTTTTAAGGTAATGCCAAGGCTAAGCAAAACTACTGCTTTGAATTGAATAACTCAGCTGAGCCACATCTGTCATTGTATGTTGATTATAAGCTCTGATTGACAGTTGAATGCCTTTGGGTACACAAAGGTCATTTAGAGCATAGGTCCAAGGTAAGGGAGTCTAGAATTAAAAAGGTAAACAGGTTTAGATCCCACTTTCCCTGGAGGTGATGGACTGGCCTTGATAGCTCTTCAAAATTTTTATAACTGGGAATATACTTGATACTGGTGCCCTGGATTGTGCCATCTCAGTTCAAGCCAGCCATGCCAAGAGTCATTTTATCTAGTGAATCTCCCTGGCTCTGTTCTTCTTGGATACCATTCCTACTCCTGACTGTGCTGTTGGCAGGTGCTTTGACTACTATCATTGGATGTATTTTTGTGCAGTCCACCTTACAGGTGTATTCAAATCCTAGGTATGACAACATCTGCCTGAGTGCATGTTGTGTAAGCCAGTGTCTGAAGGTGGGAACACTAGTGGCACCATAAGGAAAAAGCTCAGGAGGGATCCGGCAGCTCCTGTGGATCTGTGATTATGTGGGGCGTTCCTACTTACTAGGATTTCTGGGTCTCTTAACTCAGGCATGAAAGACCTTGCTGAGGCTCCTTTGCCTGCAGAGGAGTGGGTGGCCCTACTTGGGAGTTGTTAGGGCCTGGGGTAGGATCCACCAGTGGTCTGAGACAGGGAAGGTTGATGTGTATCTTGAGGATTTTCCCATCCTTCTAGGGACTATCTGTCCTGCAAAGTGGTGGCCAGTGGCCTATCCAAAAGTGTGGGTACCTGATGATGGACCAGATGCAAGGGTAGGACTGTCTTCTGAGAGATGTCTCCCCCTTGATTCTTCTGTCGCTTCAGACACTCCAGGTGGAAGGAGGCCCTTCGACCTGCAAGGGCAGTCAAAGAACCAGGATCAGGGCAGCAGAAGGGTACATTGCCCTGGGACAACTCTGCTCTTGTTTGGATCTTGAATGTCTCCCAAAGGCCCACCTGATGAAGGCAGTATTGGGATCAGGTAGAAACTTTAAGAGGTGGGGCCTAGTGAGAGGTTTTATGTTGTTGGTGGTATGTCCTGAAGGGGATTATAGGATGCCTGTCTCTTTTTCTTTCTCTCTTTCCTTTCCCAGGCAGGAGGCGAATGGTTTTGCCATGAGTTTCCACCATAATGTATGGCCTTACTCCAAACCCAAAAGCAATGGGGCCAACTGTCCATGTATTCTCTAAAACTGTGAGCCAAAATAAATTTTTCTTCTTCTTTTTTGGTACCAGTGATTGAACTCAGGGGCACTTGACCACTGAGCCACATCCCCAGCCCCATTTTGTATTTTATTTAGAGACAGGGCCTCACTTTTGCTTAGTGCCTTGCTTTTGCTGAGTCTAGCTTTGAATCATGATCCTCCTCCTTCAACTTCCTGAACCACTGGGAATATAAGCATGCACCGCTGTGCACAGCTATTAATTTGATTGTCTCAGGTATTTTTTTGCACAAAGAGAAAGCTGACCAACACAGAATCATGCCCAGGTAGCTGCAAGGAGTAGTGTCAGTGGCCCTGGATACACTCCTCTTCACCCCTTGCTTTATCTCTGAGACACATGGAGTAGCACATGTTTAAATTCCATCCCAGCATGCTCTGCCTTTGGAATTCTGTCTTATGGCTTTGGAAATCTTCCCAGTTCACTGCATGGAGATTGCCTAGACCAGGCCAGAGCAGTTTCTCAATCATCCCTGGGTACCTGACAATGTCATCTTGGGGGTGACCACTGGCCACATCTGGAGAGCAAGGTATGTCTTTACCTAGTGAGGCAGAGCGGAGGAAACCCCTCTTTGGAGATTGCCGGATGTCCCTCTTGTCTTCCTCTGGAGGCGTCAACTGTCGATTTTCATCATCCTGGTAGGAGAGCCTGGAATAGAACTCTTGGGGCTTGTTCCTGGAGGCTGAGCACCGCCACCCAGGGAGACAGCTGCCACCCCACAAAGCAGTTTGCATTTTTCCTAGTGAAGGAACAACTGCACCCTTGTGCTTCCACACAGGTTTAGGGAAGGGGCATCAGGGACTTGCCACCCCAAGAAATTCTGCCCTGCTCTCTGGCATCACAGGCCTGCTTGCTGGAAGTCCCAGCTCTTTACGCACAGCTGTCTGTCTGATGAGCCTTGCCTTTATTATGTGTGTGGTGCTGGGGATCATAGCCAACACCTGGCATGTGCTCGGCCCGTGCTCTAGCACTGAGCTTCCTGCCCCCAGCTCTGAGTCTTGCATGTCTGATTTGAGGCACTGGAATCACTGTTTGGTCAAAGGTGTTGAGAAAGCTAGAAAAAATTCTAGGCTCACAGGTTTCCTCAGGAGAGGTCTAGGCTCCAGTCTTTACATATGCTCATGCTATTGACCTTGGCTATGCTCATTGTTAGCCCAAACTTCTCCCTCATTCCCCACTTCCTCCCAGTCCTGGCAACTTTTCATCTACTTTGGTCTGTTTTCTTTTTTTCCTAATGCTGACTGCAACCCACCGAAGTGATTTCACAATCCCTAGTGGGTCAGCTTGCAGTCAGATGAGGTCCCTGCCTCTGTCCCTGGTGCTATCCCTCAAATCTTTTTTTAAAAAGAATTGATTTACTTCGTTGTGAGTTTTGTGGTGCTGGAGACATGAACCAGGACCTTCTATGTGTCGGGTCCCACTGAGCCTCCAGCACCTCTCACTTCTTGAGGGCAGAGCCTTTGTTTTCTTTGACTCCACCCGGCTCCTGTGAGTGACTGGGAGCCCTCGTAGAAGTACAGGGAAATTTGCTGAAGGAAAACCTCACGGTTTTAGGGCTCCAGACCTTTCTCTCATTCTCAGCTAGGTAAGTCCTCCTCCTCACATGTTCTTCCTATCCAAGTCATCCCACTCTTGCAGACAGAGCTCTGTCTGACTTATGTGGTACATACTGTGGTCACCCAGCCCCTGACCTTCTCTGAATGCCTGTACCTCTCAGCATTTGTACTACTCTGTGGGCAGTTAGTTACAAAATCTCCATATTATTTCCCTCTTGTGAGATCCTCTGAGCTTCCTAACTAGTTGGTAAGATAGTCTTGAGTTCCAAGCTATTTTTCATGGCAAGTAGAGCAGCCCCTTGTACCAAGCACTTAGTAGGAGCCATAATGGATTAGAGAAATTATCTTCCTGATCTCTGGGATAATTGGTCATGTATCCATTGGCATTCTCTAAAAGTCAGTTTAGAGAATGAGACCTCTCAAGGAGTTTCTGGATATTTTTTTTAGGTTTTATACCCTTTGCCATTGAGTCACAAAGGCATCTCACTCCCCACCCCACATTTGCTGGGGGGGACATGAAGGTGTGGGGAGGTCATCTGATTAGGCAAGTCACTGTCTTGACCACTACTTCGATGTTCTCTGCACTCCTTATGTCCTTCTATTAACCAGGGAAAAGGGAGAGATCTTGCTGCTGTTCAACACCATTCCCTGGGCAAGTCCTGGGGCCCAGGATGCCACATAGCATGTCCTTATTTATTTTTGTTAATTATTATTTTAATTTGCACATATTTACAGAGCATATATTTATGTGATGATTTTGACACACATATAGAATGTGTAATGATCAAATCAGGTCATTAACATTTCCTTCTCAAACATTTAAAACTTTTTTCTTGCACATATTTGTGGGGCCTGGTGTGATATTTCAGTACATGTGTACAGATGTGCTGGTCAAATCAGGATAATTAACTTTTCCATCTCCTTAACATTACTCTGTCTGGAGCCTTCAAGTTCCTGTCTTTTAGTTATTCATAAGTGTATATTTAGTCTATTCTAAAAGGAACGGACATTGCAACCTTCTAATGGATCTAGATCTGCATTTTTAAAGCCCTGCTCCATACATCCAGCAAGGGCAACCCAGCAGCCTTAGCTTTGCCAACAGTGCCCTCTTCTGGGTAGCTTTATTATAAGCATGAAACATTTGTTTAAATGTTAATATATGTATGTGTGTTCTGAGTCTCACTAGAAAATATAGTTATGGCTGCTGGTTGCAGCTAAAAAGTTTAAGAAACAATGTTGAGAAGTTATCCTGGAAGTATTTTATGATGAGGAAAGGCCAAGATAAAGGGGATTGTGTGTGTGTGTGAGTGTGTGTGTGTGTGTGTGTGTGTGTGTGAGAGAGAGAGAGAGAGAGAGAGAGAGAGAGAGAGAGAGAGAGAGGGATGCGGGCTTCCCATTCCTCTACTGAGATGACAGACAGTTTAGTGATGTGCAATCTCCTCCCCTCCCCAAGTCATGCCCAGGAGAGAGATTTTGACGACCTGCCCTGTGTTCCCAGATCCTTCCCTCCACCCGGGGTGGCCTGGGCAGAAGATGCAGGGCTCACATCTCTGTGGAGAGGAGGCTGGGTTCGCTGCAGTACTCAGCCTCTTCACTCATCTTCACGTCGTAGGTCTCGTCTCGAGACATGTCCTCCTGACACACCATGGCTATCTGGCTCTCCCGGGAGGAGCACCTATAGTGTCCAGAAGGGACCAAAGTATCAGGAACTGCCGCTGTCCTCCTCTGCCCCAGCAAGCGAGGTGTCACCCATGCACATGCATGCAGAGACATAACCACTGTGGCCTCTGCTTCCTGCACCTGCTGATGAAGGCTTTTAAAGAAGGCCCTGGGCTATACTATAGAGGGCAGGAAGGCCACTGTAGATAGCATGTCTCTGATTCTTAGCAAAAGCAATGCCAGAACTGTAGCTGCCCTTAGTCTTGAGCTGAGACATAAAGGACAAGGCCCAGAGCTGGAACTCTGGCTGGGTTTACTCTTCACCTGGTTAAGGCTTAACACCTGCAGTTTTTATCAACTGTCATGGGAAGAGAGGCAACTGAAGTTTATGAGCACTTACCCTGTGCTAGGTAGGCACTGTGTGTGTGTTAAACTTCACTGATAGATACATCTGGGGGAGAAGAAAATCCCCTGATGTCTGCTCCACAGCTCCTCTCTAAAGGTCTCCTCTTGTTTAATATAGATCAAAATTTAATATGAAAATACTCTTCAAGGGAGGTAATTAAATTTACAATGGGATTCCAATGATGGACAAAAAGAGCCTTCTTCAGGAAGACAAGGTGCACAGGGGAGAATGTGGTACTCTGATTGAGTCCTTGAAGATTGTGGAGGAGGAGCTGGGATGCATAAAAGGGAAAGGGCCATCAAGTCAGAATTAGGAGGCCACTTAAACTTGATCTTCTATGCAAAGCCAGCTTTTCAGATCAGCACACAGATCTGGTGCTGGGCACATTGCCCTGAGCATAGAAGGGGTCAGTATGTGTCTCCTGAGACTCAGGACTCGCCCAACACTGCTGTTGGGTGGTTAAAGCAGCCAGTCTTCCAGAGCATACAGTAGATTGGATGGATGGCCAATGCAACTTGCTTGGCATCAGATACTGGTAAGTGCCCATATGATGGGGCCACGTGACCATTTTTGTACTGGGGATCAAACCTAGGTGCACTTTACCACTGAGACACATCCCCAGCCTTTTTATTTTTTAAATTGAGACAGGGTCTCAATGAGTTGCTGAAAGCCTTGCTAAGTTGCTGAGGCTGACCTTGAACCTGGCTGCATGGCCACTTGGAGATGGGTGTTATGAAGGGACAGGAAAACTAGTGGGCAAGTATGCTGCTCCTTGGGTGGAAGCAGCTTCAGGACACATGTCCAGAGGTTTAGCAAGAAACTCACATTTCTTGATTACTATGTGAGCTGGAGGGCAGGAAAAAAGGTGATTTGCCCAAAAACCTGGTATGCTGGGGATCTGTCCAGCCTCCTAGGGCCTCACTATACTACTCTGGAAGAGCAGCGCAATCAAGGATGATGTGGCAAGAAGCAGAGGAGTGTCCTCTCCCACCCTGGCCTCGGGGAGCCTGGAGCTGCAGAGGGGAGCAGGCAGCCCAGGCTGTACTTCTGGGGCCCAGAGCACAGAAGAGGCACCTACCGTCCCAGTATCTCATAGCAGTGTGTCCTACAGCACAGGGCCAGGTGGGGAGAAAAGAGCAAGTCAGGAGGTGGGAGTCGCCCTTAAGACCTCCAGGAATGATCCTACTCTGGGGCAGATAGGTCAGTGCTACAGAAAAGGGCCACCTGCCACCAGAAAGCAAGATGGGGCTGATGAGGGGTTTTGAAGAAAAGACACCCTTCCTGTCCAAGTGAGTGAAAGGCCAGGTTTGGGCAGAGGTTTGGGAAAGGGTAGAGGGGATGGTTTCTGTCACATAGCCCGGATTCACATGTCTCAGAGGATCACAGCCCAGTATGCATTCACTCAGGAAGGTTGAGGGGAGAGGGGCTCTGTCAGAGGCCTGGCACCTCAGGAAATAGCTGGCCCATGGGATGACGCTGGCTTATCCTGTGTGTGGCTGCCATGTTGAACCAAGAGCTCGATTTGGGTGACAGCCTGGCCCCTACGTCTCTTGCTGGGTTCTGGGGCAGCGGCCTCTAACTGAGGCTTGAAGGTTGGGTGGTGGCCTGAGGGCCAAATTGTTCTCCACCCTGGTGTGGCCTAGGCTAGGGTGCAGGGTGCCCACCCTCCTGCTTACCTCCTAGAGTTGAGCTTCCAGGCAGTCTCCTGCACCCGGATGGCAGGAGACAAGGGGGGCCCATGGCCCTCCACGGTGCTGACTGTGCTGGGGTAACCGCTGGGGCGGGGGAAGCGGCCTAGGGCGGTGTTGTTGGCATTGTTGATGTTGGCGTTGGAGCCGGTGGATGAGTAGCTGCTGGGGGTGAAAGTGGAGTCCACTAGTTTCTCGTGGGAGGGCGATTCAGTGTCGCCTTGGTTGTTACCCGCCTTGTTGATGTGCAGCGGGCGCTGGGTGGTGAAGGTCTGTGGGAAGGTGCCCCGGCTGTCGCTTTGGTAGTAGTTGACATGGTTGACAAGCAGGCCCCCGGCCCTCTGTAGGCAAGACAGGAGAGTGGGTGGAGGAAAAGACCCCTGACTGCCTCTCCTTCTTTGAGGGAGAAACCTTGGGCAGGCGGGGCAGAGAAGCACAGGCCGTGGGAACCTTGTCTGCCCACTATAGGGTCAAGTTTCCAGGGTCTTGGTGGGGTGGTTAACATGGCACCTGATGTCCCTGATGCCATTTGGTATATAATGAGAATGAAGATGACAGGAGGACATCATAGATGGGATGGGCTGATTTTAGCTCTACAGCCCAGGAGCTGGGCACGGGGCTGGGGGACAAGTGCAACAGGGCCCTGTTCCACCATGGTTGGTAGCTTCCCCCTCGCTATAGAAGAAATTTTAGCCAAACTCCTTTGGGATGAGGCAGGTAGCTCAAATGAGTGACGAGAGCCCAATGCAAGAGTTGTGGTCTTCTGGCCCAGCCAGGTTTAATTGCCACTGATGGGCCAGCCTTGGTCTCTAGGAGAGTAGAGGGAGGCCTGGAGGGGACCTCAGTGACCCAGATAGCACATGCCCATCTCCACAGAGTAGCCACCACTGTCCTGGCCTCTGCCACCATGTGGGAACATAAGCACGATATGGCCAGGTCTTCTGACTTTTTCCACGAAAAGATAGAAGTCCAAATTTTTACTTGGATGTGCCAGATGTTCAAGTATCAGCAAACAAAAGAGGTCAGCAGATTAGAGGTGGCCCACGGGCTACCACTCTGCAACTCCTACTGTAGAAGTTCCTCCCAGGAAACATTGCCCTTAGGAACATATCTCCTCCCCAGTTCTCTGAGAGCCAGTGACGCTCAGAGCTGCCATCCTGAGAGGACTGATGTGACAAGGAGTCGGATTTGAAGAGGCCATCCTCTGCAGAATGAGGAGACAGCTGAGCGGAAGGGCTTGGAGTCACCACAGAGTTAAGCCTTTCTTTCTGGTTTTTCTTAGCAGAACCCCAGCCCACCCATCTTTTGCTTCAAGATGAACTTGGTAAAGAAAGTGTGACTCTCAGCACCTACCCTAAAGATGTCATCTTCGGAGGCAGCAGACACAGCCTCCTTCATGGCCTTGTCCAGCTCTTCCTCGGCAGTCAGATCTCCAGAGATGGCCCTTCGGATCTCAGGCCCGATGTCATGCAGTGTACGCAAGCCAGCCTGGAACCCAGAGGGACACGTGAGGACCCTGGTCCTTCTCTACCCAGCTTTGCAGTCAGCCATGACCCTAGTGCTCCTCCACCCAGCCACTCTACCCAGCAGGGGGCTTCTGAACCAGATGGGCTTCCCAGGGACCCCTATTGTCACCCTGGGGTGGAAGATTCCATTCATCCATCTGGGAAGAGTGAAGTCATGCTCAGAAGGCCACCAGTGATCAGGGGCTGTCTGAGTTCAGCAGAGTGCATGGGAATTCTGGGGTTGCCCGGAAAACAGGCAGAAGGGTGGAGGGCAGTGGGAGGGAAAGGGGTTTGTCACCCCCCTCATATCTGCCTTCAGAAAGGATTAGTGCTTTCAGGAAGTTTTCTGCTCAGCCTCCTGGTGAGAGATCTGGGCCCTGGCCAGGGCCTGAGGAGGGCAACCAGGACCATCTTTGGGGTGTGGCTCCTTCCTGCCAGACCCTTACCTGCAGTGACAGGGCGTTCCTCTGGGAGGGCTTTCCCACAAGCCCTTGCTCTTTACGCTTCTTGAATTTCCGGAAGTATTCTTGGATCAAGAAAGTGGCATAAAATTTGCCAACTGTAACCTCATCATCTGAGACACACGGAGAGAGGAGAATTGTGGGGAAATGGAGATTCAGTTAAACTTCGTTAATTTACTTTTTAGCATCCAAACTTTTACTTTTTCAATTTAATTTTTTTTTGGCTTAAAAGGAGTAAAAACAAATAGAAAGGAATATGGTGAAAAGTCTCTCTCTTACCACATCCCCATCAGCTTAGTTATTTCCTTCTAGTAGCTAACCATTTTTATTAGCTTCTTAAATATTTTTATAGAAATTCTTCATGCAAATAAGCAAATATATTCTTATTCTTACTTAATATTATCCTCTCTCTCTCTCTTTCTTTTTTTGGAGACAAGTTCTCACTACATTAAGACCAGGCTGATCTTGATTGAAATTCTGGGCTGAAACAATCTTTCTGCCTCAGCCTCCTGAGTAGCTGGGACTATCGATGCATACCACCACACCTGGGTGCTACATACTACAACCTTTTTTTTTTAACAGAAAAGTAGCCTATACTACTTGTGATTGTCAAAATCACTTCCTACCTTGCTTTTATTTTTCCCCTTGATTTGACATTACTAACCCTTATTTGATTCCACCTATGGTTGAATGGCATCTCCTAAACACAAACAGTTCTGCTTCAAGATTGGAGGGAGGGGTTGTTGTGAGCAACACCTTCCTCTTGTTGAAGTTTGGGTTCTTCTTCAAACCAGACAGATTGGGTTATCATACCATGTGTCCCTGCTGGGCTGGGTACCTGAGATCACACAGGATTAAATCAGTGTCTGTCTTGGGCATGAGCCAGATGGTAGGGAAGCCGTAAGTCCTGAAGGGAAATGTTTAATGCCCAGAAAGTCACCAGTTGCCCTATCTCCTGTGTTTTGTGACTGGGTTAAGTCTCTGGGCTTGTGGTGGCACACCTGCTCCTAGCTGTCCTTGTGAAGGGCCAACTCCATGATACTGATGGGCCTCCTTCTGGCAGGGCCTCATATCCACAGGGGAAGGGAACCTTGGTGATCTCTGTCTAGGGAAGTCAGAAGCCTGTGTGAGGTCCTAGGCTCCCTCCGTCCCGAGCTCCTGCATCTGCTCTGGATGCACCATGCAACCTTGGCTAGGTAATTAGCTTAGAATGTTAGTTCCTTGAGCAAACTTCACAGAAATGTTATAAACATTAAATAATTAAGTCATGTAAGATATCAGATGGCATTTGGCCTATTCAGGATTCTTAGCCCCAGTCTTGCTTTCCCTTTGGGAAGTGGTTTTCAACAGGGATTTCACTTCTTCAGGAAGCTTTGGAAATGTGTGGGTGCATGAGAGCAAATTTCATAATTGATTTTAACTTCTTGCAGAGTTGTGCCTGAGCATTTATGCATTAAAAACATTTTCTTTTAATATACTTTATATTGGAGTTAAAGCCCTTATTAACACATGTAGGAAGGTTATGTTATCAACAATTTTTATTTGAGATCATAGTAGGGGCAATCTAAATTATCTGTTATAAACAGGGACTTTTGCTTGGTAGCGATGAGGAGAACTGTCCTAGGATGAATGAAATAAATTTCAAAGAGAGGAGGGATCTCAGGGCATTTTCTTCCAGGGTTCTAGAATAATCTAGAACAATCAACTCAGTGGCTTACAGGGAAACCTACAGGTTTGGGGGTTCCCTTGGAGGTTCAACCAAATCTCTAAGCATCACATCTATGCCTGTCCCCATAATGCAAAATGCAGATTGCAGCAGATTTCCAACCTGACAGTCTATATCTGAGTTTGTGCAGGGCATTGCACTCCAGTCTCTGGGAGAAGGGTTTGGAGAAAGGAAGCTCCAGCGAGCCCAGTGGCCTCAAGACGTAAGTCTCAGGCTGCTGCCATGTTTCTAATGGTGCCAGAGCTGGAGTAGAGGAAGGCAGAGAAATCATGTGGGCTGGGCAGGTGGCTGAGATGTGGGCATCCAGGGCACTTACCACCTGCAGGAGGCACCACTTGGTCCAGTAGCTTCATGCTGGTCCTTTTCCAGATCTTCTTGATGATGGCCCGCAGCTCCTCATTGGCTTGCTCCAGGTTCCCTGAAGAAGAGGGTATGGGAGGCTGAAAATGATCATTGGCCCCTTGTGGCACCCTCCCAGGAGATGGGTCTCTGAATAAGGAGGGAAGCTGCTGCTAGAGGCCTTGGCCCCATACATAGCCCTGACTCATCAGCTTCTCTTTCTTTCTCAATGCTGCTTTTCTCCCCAGTCTTCCCATTTCCATTTCTATGTCCTTCCTTTTTCCATTTCCCTTTCTCCGTGTTTTCCTTCTTTCTTTCTTTCCTTCTGAGCCCTGTCTAGTGCCATTCCTTTTCCCTTCCTCCCCACCTGTCACTCAGGCCAGCCTGTGGGGGCACTCGGAGATGAAGAGCCTGAACTGAGCTGCAGCCCCCCAACCCCCCAACCCCTGACAGCCTAGGCAAGCATATATCCCCAGCCTCCTTTCTCCCCTTTAATTTGAGACAGACTCTCATTAAGTTGCTTAGGACCTTGCTAAGTTGCCAAGGTAGGCCTCAAACTTATCATCTTCCTGCCCCAGCCTCCTAGGTGCCTGAGATTACAGGAATAAGCCACAGGACACAGGCTTGACAGTGGTGGAAAAGGAAAGCTGAGACCTGTACCCATTAGAGTGAGGTGCTAGGCAGGATTCTAGATGCTATGCAAGATACCTGCCCCACCCCACCACCATACACATGATGCATAATCCCTGGGCCTGAGGATAAAATGGATTTTACTCTTGCAATTAGATTACGTCATAGGGCACCTATGACTGTCAGCCAGGGAGAAGAGCTCTGTGGGCCTGACCTAATCACATGAGCCCTTTAACAATCCAGGGTTCTCACCAGCTGGGAGCAGAGAGAAAATGAGAGGGATGGACCCTGGCTGGACTAGAAGAGCACAGATACCCATGCTATGGAACGAACTGAGAGTGGTTCCCAGCTGACAGCAAGCAGGCGAATGAGGATTACACACCCATAATGGCAGGAACTGAAAATTTTCAACAATGTGAATGAACTCAGAGGTGGTATCTTCTTCAGAGCCTCCAGAAGGGCGCACAGCCTGGTTAATATTGATTTTGGTCTCCCAAGACCCTGAGCAGAGAACCTAGCTACTCCATGCTGGACTTCTGACTTACAGAACTGTGAGCTAATAACTGGGTGTTTTTTTTTTTTTTAAAGTGTGTGTTAATTTATTATCCAGGGTTAGGAAAGCAGTACAGGTGATGGATACTGCTATTACATGGAAATGCTGTAGGGCGTCAAGGAGAGCTCTGGGGTCAGACTGCTTGCATTCAAACCCAGGTCTAAAGCCACCCAGGAGAGCAAGCAGATGTGGCCATGGAGAGGGAGTGAGGGCTTCTCAGTTCTTCCTTAGAAGGTCAGATTCAAACAGTAGCTGAAGCCAGAGGACAACTTCTGGGCTTCCCATGGAGGCCATCGATGAAGGAAGTCAGAGGTTTCTAACATACACAATCTGAGTCCCAATTAAAACAATGCTCAAATAAACTTCTGGACTGGGTTGAAGGGCATCCTCCCAAAATTCATGTCTACCTGGCTCCTTGGAATGTGGACTTAGCTGGAAAAAGAGTCCTCAGAGATGTAACTAGTTAAGATGAGGTCATATAGGATAAGGGTGGGCTCTACGTCCAATATGCCCAGTATCCTTACACAAAGCAGAGAGGCACACAGGGACACACGGGGAAGGTCATGTGAAGAGGGAGGTAAAGATGCAGTGACACAGCTGTGAGCCCAGGAGAGCTAGTGTCACTAGCCACCACCAGAAGCTTCAAGAGAAGCAGGCACAGCTCCTCCTAGTCTTTAGCTGGGACCCACCTGCCTGTACCTTACTTTTAAAAGATTTCTGGTTCCCTGAATTGTGAGGGAGTAAGTTCTCTTGTTTTAAGCCACCTGGTTTCTGATCATTTGTTATAGAAGACCCAGGAAACAAATACATCTTCCAAAGGCTCTTTCATGTTTTTCTCCAGGTTTTCCTTTAGTGTCATAATGATCTATGTGCTGTGCAGTGTCACTGCCCGTTGCTTTATATCATCAAAGTATTTTTAAGGCTTGCTACTGGAAAGAGCGCTGGTTCTCCAAAGTCAGTGTGAACTTCTCTCACTTCCTTCCACTCACAAAAGCCTGAAGGGCCAAGGCCGCTCTAAGTCTTCTCCTCACAAATTTATGTTTTCTCACCTTTCTTTCCTTTGTCTCCAAGTCTTGATTTTAACAAGTCTGTGGAGAGCCTGGAGGATCACCCTCAAATGTATGTACAGGTGTGTTGGTGGCTATTCTGAGATGTCTGTTTCAAAGATTTTCTTGAATTCTGGACTTGGCTAAAGTTCCCAGAGGCTGGTTTCTCCTCTTGTCTCTGGATAAGTCTGGTTACAGCAAACTTGGTGCTACTGCTGGTGGCACTTTGTTGGGACCTGGTTTGCAGACAGTGCAGCTTCAACACTGCTCAATCAGTAATTTTTGTTTCTCTATGGAACCCAAACTTTCAGCCTTAGTTTATCCCAAGTTTCTAGTAATACTGCATATTCCTTCCAGTAGTCAGTGTCTTCCTTTATTGGAAGATAAAACCCTTTCCCTGAACATAAATGAAATAATAGACATGGTAGAAAATTTGGAAAGAATAGAATTAAAGGAAGAAGATTCTGCCACTCAGTGATATTCCATATTAATGTATTAACAACTTTCCTTCTGATTTTCTTCTGTTGTGCACACACTTGTGTACTACATGTCTACCTAATTCTTTTTAGCCAGAAGTAAGCCCATTGGTAGCCATTTTGGATTGAGTTATTGCATTGATACCAATGGCATACTTTTTAGCCTTTGCTTTCTTTTTTTCAGCAAAATTTGACTTGTGTTTAATTTTTAAAATTAGCTCATAATTTTGACAGGCATGTTGCTGGACAGGTTCTCATTTCCCTTCCTTTCAGAGGTTTCTGCTATTCTCTGGAAAGATTTAACTGAAAGAAGGCACCTCTCCTGGTGATGCACTGAACTAAATTCTCAGATGTCATCACCTTTATCTATTTTACAAATGAAGACAGAATAAAGAATCACATGCATGTTGGTGAGAGAGCTGAGACGCAGACACAAACCTCCCATCTCCCTCTTACTGCCCCTTCTGTGGAACCAAAGGAAAACACTGGCTGGCAGCCCGGGCTCCTGGGTGAAGTGTAAGAAGGGGAAGAAAACACGCTGCTCGCCTCGTGTGTATCTTCTCCTATTATTGCACCAGTGGGTGTCAGACTCCAGCTCACACACAAATCATCCACGCAGCTGGTCCACAGTGCAGATTGCTGGCCCTAGTCACAGACACTCAGGTTTGGTAAATCCGAGCTGGTACCGGAACTCAGCTTTGACCAAGTCCCAAGAGCTAATCCTGTGGCTCATGGTCTTTCGACCACACTCTAAGAAGCACTGAATGGCTACAGGCTCTTGGAGAACAAGGGCATGTTTTGAGACACATTTTATACAGACTTTTGCAGAGTGGTTCAGAGATAGACAGCAGATGACCTAAACCAGGGTCACTGCTAGCCCACAGGGTGCCTCTGTGCAAACTAGAAGGGACTCACTGGAAGTGGCTTGTGTGTGTGTGGACCATAGGCTGAGTAGTGTAGCATGAGTAGTGTAGCACAGGTAGGACCTTAACCCCTACCTGTCAAGGGGCTGATCGCCTTGTGCCAGGGACAGCATGCATAATGGTATGCGACTCCACCATAGTTACCACCTGTAGTTATGTCCCCTTCCCAACATGAGTCCTTTTAATTTCAAAAGAGAGTTGAGCATTTGAGAAACCCACCTGTAGCCAGTGCATATCCCTTGAGGGCTCAGTCCTGCTTCAGGTAACAATCATCCCCTTTTGTATTTTGAACTATACCCTAGACATCAAGTCAACACCAGAATAATTTCTAGACTTTAATGGAGAAGGAGAGCTCAAGATAAATAAACCAGAGGCCAAGAGGTCATTGAGAAACAAAGAAAACATGAGCAGGAAGGGCCTCCTTAAGACCCAGTGTTGTGATCTGGATGTGAGACAGTGCAAGAAGGTTCAGAGGACAAATGACTGGGTTAGGAGAGCCTTAACCCAATCAGTGAATTAATCCACCTGGTGGGATTAGCTGGGTGGTGACTGAGGCAGGTAGGGTGTGGCTGGAGAAGGTGGGTCATGGGGGTGTATGCCTTTGTATGTGGTGAGTGGAGATCTCTCTCTCTTCTCTCTGATCATCATGTAAGGAGCTTCCCTCCACCACACTCTTCTGTCATGTTGCTCAGCCTCACCTGGAGCCCTGAGGAATGCAGCCAGCTGCCTATGGACTGAGACCTCTGAAACTAGGAGCCCCCAAATAAACTTTTCCTCCTTTACAATTGTTGTGGTTGGGTTTTTTAATCACAGCAACTCAGAAAGCAGGTTATCATGTCTCGCTGCTCTATACGGTACTGGGTGGGAAGGTCCCTGAGCACTTTGCAGGCTGCTGAGCTCCTCTCTGGTTGGTTGGCTGGACCTTCCAAGTGGCTCTTCCAGTGGTCCATGGATGGTCCTTACCTTCTGTTTTGATCCTTAGGGCTGTCCTGACCAGGGCAAACAGGGTGGCATTGAACATGACTGTCCCATCGCTGTTCAGAGGCATGTTCATGGAGACCAGACGCTGGAGGAGAGAGGAGGCAAAGCCAGAGATTACAGAAGATGGTTCTCAAAGGCCCTACATAACTACCTTGGTGGAAATGCTGGGAGGGTGCCTGGTGACTTGTGTGGGTGCTGCTGGGAGTGGGTGGGTGTGAAGCGTGGGTTGCTGCAATGTACTCAAAACCTTCTCTGGGGAGAATCTGGGCTTTGATGTGAGAACTCTTGCCCTTCTCCACAGAGTGGGGGACGGATGGAATGTGTCCTTGGACCTTCCACAAAGGGATGTTAAGCCCACCCTCCCTGCTGTCCCGCCCAGTGTGGCTCAGCCTCGGGGTGTGCTTCTGCTGGCAATGAAGGGCAGCTGTGCACCAGGCACTGCTACATCAAGCCGCGTCAGAGGCTTGCTGACTCCAGGTAGGGTGGTATGCCTCTTCCCTCTTTCCCACCTCCATTCCACAGATCCCTGTGCTCTGTGAGGGGCTGTCAGTGCACACGAGGTCATTGTGACAAAGAGCAGCGTGATGCTCATCATGGCGTCCACACCAGGGTGTGGTCAAGGAGGCTGCTTCTCAGACCACATGGGGTCCTCCTGTAGACCTTGTGCCAGGAAGTGCTGTCCTTTCCTGAGACACTGGGTGTTTTTGAGTCTCATGGGCAGTGTGAGTTGGAAAGCTTAAAGCCCCATATTCAGACCTCCTAGTCCTGTCTGGAGGCTTCCATGGGTACATTTCAGCTGCTAGGCACGTCCTTTTCCCATCGTGCCTCTACTTTACATTGATTTGTGCTTGTTATGATTTGGATCTCAAATGCTCCCAAAGGCCCATGAGCTGAAGGACGGGTCATCAGTCTGTGACACTTTTGGGAGGTGGTGGAACTTTTAGGAGGTGGGACTTCATGGAAAGAAGTTAGGTCATTGAGGGCATGCTCTTGAAGGGGCTATTGGGACCCCAGCCCCTTCTGTCTCTTTGCTTCCTGACCACCATGGGGTGAATAGTTTTCCTCCACCATGGACTCCTGTCATGGTGTACTGGGCTACCACAGGCCCAGATCATCAAGGCCAAGGGACCATGGACTGAAACTGTGAGCCAATAATAAATTGGCTTTATAATGAATCTTTTCTCAGTTATTTTGTCACAGTGATGGAAAGCTAACAGAGTGCTCTTTATCTCTCATATTTTCTATAACTTGAATAAAACTAAGCAAAGCAGAAGGCTCCATAATCTCTCTCTTCTCCATTTTCTATGAGTGGATTATCCACAGACCTGAATCCTTCCACCATTTGGGTTTTTCCCCGATGCAGCTCTTTGGCCTCATTTCCCCCCAGCTCTTTCTCAGCTCATTATTATTCCAACAGGGAGTACAAAGTGGTGAGAAAGGAGGTGGCATGGGAGGTGAAAGAAGAGGGGCAGGAGTGGGAGTGACATTCCTCAGCAATTACTGGGCTGCATGATTGGAGCTACAACGAGGCAAGAGAGGGGTCAGGGGCTGAGAATGATGCTCAATCTCAGGGTCAGGCAGAGGTGTGTCTAACAGAACTTAGTATTTTTATCTTTTTTTAATATTTATTTTTTAGGTGTAAATGGACACACACATGCCTTTATTTTTATGTGGTGCTGAGGATCGAACCTGGGTCCCTCCCGTGCTAGGCGAGCACTCCACCGCTGAGCCACAATCCCAGCCCCAGTATTTTTATCTTAACTTATTTCTTAGACTCACTGATTGCATAGACTTGGTGACACTGCCACTTTTACCAGTGGCAGAATCTCTCTTTGGCAAAATTTTGAGTGTTTGAGTGATTTTTCATAAAATATTAGTGCTTTGCAGATCCCTGAAGTCAAGGCATGGCCTCTCTATTGGCCCTCCGGCTCCTGGGAAAGAACTCCGCACCCATCACTCCAAGCTGGAGGTCCTGTAGGAGGCCAGGGTGCTACAGCTTGCTGGGCAGACCAAGTCCTTAATTCAGACAGGACACAGGGCTCATTGGGACATGAGGCATTCAGCCTGTAGTTCCTTTACTGCATCTGAGAACTTAGATCTAGAGGGATCCTTACAATACAACCTGCCCAGGCTCATTTCTTCAGACACATACATTATTATCTTTATTCCCTTAAGGATCTCTGGTCTGACCAAGGTCACAAGGTAAAACAAGCATCTCATCTCGCCTCCCATATTTTCTCTTTCTCCCAACCCCCAGAACACAGGTTGCTTCTTACTTTGCAGGCCACACGATGAGGACACAGCTTCCCAAACCCCAGGGGGGGCTGGATACGCCGGAGGAGGGTCACCACATCTAGGTGTTTGATGCGACCCCTGCAAGAGGAAGGAGAGGAGGGGAAGAATGGTCAGGGTCATGGATTCTGTCTGCAGCCCAGGATTCATGTATCAGGGAGGTGGGGGTCTACCTACAGAGGGGTACTCTCCATACTGTGGCCTTTCTGGTTAAATAGGGCAGACTGCAGAATTGCATCATAAAATCCCCAAAACAATACAAAAATCAATGTGCATATGTTAAGATTTTAATGGACAATTTTCTGTCTATGCTATGTGCCAGGTGGAAGGGATTTGAGTCGTGCAATTAAATTCCTCAGTATGAACTCATTGCTTCGGCACACTAACCATCTAACCAAAAGGAATTTATGGGGGCTGGGGATATAGCTCAGTTGGTAGAGTGCTTGCCTTGCATGCACAAGGCCCTGAATTCGATCCCCAGTACCCAAAAAAAAAAAAAAGGAATTTATGGGATGTCATTCAAAGATGATCAACAGATGAGGGTATCCTTAGACCTGAGGTCAGGGATAGAGTCAAGATCTTCCTAGCCCTAAATATCCTGAAGTGAGTACTTACTAGTTATTCCTGATGCTAGTCTCTCCTGCCCTTCCATCAACTGACATGTTCTCAACTTAGTCAAAGGGTCTTGGCCTCTTGCAGGCTTTTGACAGCTCAGTGTTTCCCACTGATCCACCCCATGCTAACCCATCATGGACGTCTTCCACAGGATTTCCCTCAGGGAACTTACTTGGCCTCAGGGTCATACTCTGCCCAGATCCTCTTAAATTCATCCAGGTGGTGGGGACCAAGGATTGACCAGTCCCTTGTCAGGTAGTCAAAGTTGTCCATGATGACAGCTACAAAGAGGTTGATGATCTGCAGGGAACCGTAGGTACCATGAGGGGCTCCACAAGGACTTTCTTACACACTTGCCACCTGAACCCACCTTGCCAGCTCAGGCGTGGCAGAAGCCAACATTTCTAAATACCAGCAATATGTCAACATTTAAAATACCAGGCCCGAGAACTTGGGTCTCATGGACATGAGCATGACTCACTGCCCTGAGCATTGTGTGGGGTGACCCCTACCTGTGGGCTGGACAGCCTCCCTTATAACATGGTGCCATGAAGGGCTGCCAAGGCCAGAGGGTGGCTTTATCTGCCACCTTTCTCTCACTCCTCATCAAGGTGCCAAAATGTGTAAGTTTCTGCTGAGCCTCAACACATCCCCTTTGTCCTCTGGGAATGTGAACAAAAAAGAGGATGGCCGAGTTTGCCTGGCCCAGTCTTCCTGATCTTCTCCCAGTGTGGCTGGACATTACAACTGACTTAGTGTCCCCAAGCCATCTTCTATGTATTGCCCTGACAGTAAGCTGCAGAGTCAAGGGGCTGCCCTGAGACTGTCCTAGTTTCCTGGGGCTAGCAAGTCCCCCCAACTTACCAGAAAGGCACAGAGCATGTAGAAGCTGATGAAGTAGAAGACGGCGAAGCTGCTGCCACAGGGCGTCTCTCCCTCTGTGCTGTTACTGGGCTCGGATTCTGGGGCACACTTCTTGCCTGGCATGCAGGCCAGCATGATGTCCTGCCAGGCCTCCCCCGTGGCACACCTGGAGGAGAGAAAAGAGGCCCCAGCACCCATGTAGTCAATCTTATACATACAATTGAAACTCTTTTGGCATCCTTCCCAGGAAACAAATGTGGTATTTATCACTCCCTGAGCACTCAGATATGCTCACCAAATATGAAAACATTCAGCATCATTCTGAATGTTCTAAAGCTTTATACAAGAGAGTAACAAATTGTACCCTTTCTGCAAATTTGTTGTTTTTGTAATCCATGCAAAGTTTTTGAGATTTAACCATTTGGATACATTTTAGTTCTAGTTTATTTTAATTGCAATACAGGAGTACATTTAATGACCATGCCATTAAATCAAAAATCACCCTCCTGTTGAGAGACATCTAGGTTTTTCAATTAAAATTTTTTTCTATTATAATTAACACTGTGAAGACCAGGCATGTCCACATCTCGGGCATCTGCCCAGGGGTGGGATTGCCAGATGAAGACACATGTGTTTTCATATTTACTAGGTGGTGCATATTCTCCAGTGCAGACCCCTTTCACAGGGTAGGAGAAATGCCATTCTCCACAGACCCATCAGCTCTCAGTGGATTTTAAAGTGTGTTGCTCACACGATGGTGTGAAATGATACTTCATTGCTGTTTTTGTTTAGTTTCAACACCCCCAGTGGGTTGAGAAATTTAATTTCACCTTCTGTTGAAATGCATGTTGCTGTTTTTGCTTGTTGATTCATGAGTTGTCTTCCTCTTCATTTGTTGGGTCCTTTAGGTGGTTTTTACCACCATCCTTTGTTATTCATATGCATTTCAAGTATCTTCCTCCAGCCTGTGACTGGTCTGTCTCTCTAGGTTTTTTTTTTAAGGTATATTTTGATAAATCTAAGTTTTTTATTTTAATGAGGTCAAATTTATAATTTTTTGCACTATGTTTCGTGCTCTTTGCCTCTCATTTAATAAGTCCTTTCCTGTTTGAGGACATTAAGATATTCTCCTCAAGCTTCCAAAGTTTCATTTTTCACAATAACACATTAACCTGAATTTTATTTTGATATGAGGTAGGAATATGCTTTCATCTTTTTCTGCATAGATAACACTTTTCTTCATATGATTTGCCTACTGATTTGAAATAGCTCTTCTGATATAAATTCTATTTCCATAGACGTGTGAATCTTGTGCTAGTCTTTTCATTCTATTCCATAGGTTTACTTGCCAAGGAGCATTGGTACCATGTTGTCTTAATTATTATAGTTTATAGTGAACCTTGTTCTCTCATAGGGCATGAATTCCAGTTTCTTGTTTTTCATTTGTCTTGATTGTTCACTTTCTTTTTCTATTCCTTAGACACATTAGAATCAGTTCATCAAGTTCTATGAATAGTTCTATTGAGAGTCTTGTGGAATTGCATTAAAATTTAGATTAAGGAATCTTGACAACTTTAGGATACAAGGTCTTTCAGCCATGAACATGGCATCCATTTATGTAGTCCTTACTTAATGTCTTCAGTAAAATTTTATGATTTCCCCATATACATCCTTTGTTACATTATTTTTAAGTACCTTCTTTATTTTGTTGCATATTTAAAATGGTGCAGTTTGCCAGGCATGGTCCTATAAACCAATAGTCCCAGTTACTTGGGAGTGAAGCAGGATGATCCCTTAAGCCTAGGATTTTGATGCTAGCTTGGGCAACATAGTGAGACCCAGCTCAAACAAACAAACAAAAAGATGAAGTTTTAAATTATATTAGTTTGTTATAGTGTAGAATAACTGATTTTATATACAGATTTGCAGAACTTTCTTCCTGGTTTCAACAGTTTATCTGTAGTTTCTCTTGTACATTCTGAACTGGCAAATTTTTTTTTTTTTGCTTTTTTGTTTCTTATCTGATTCTTAACTTTCAATTTATTTTTCTTATTGCAGTGGACAAAACTTGCAAAGAAATGAAGTTAAATAACCAATATAATGTTTATATTATATTGCTTTGGACAAAACTTGCAATATAATATTCCAGATCAGATTCTGATTTGACAGGCAGAAAGAGTGATAGTATAGGATCTTATCCATTATGTTTTCTAATTAGCTATTTCAAGTACAATATAATGATTCTTCCTCTTTGTTAATTCCCCACCTTATGGATCCTATTCATTATTACAGAGATTTGTAATTATTTTGCTTGGATTTTCTACTTGGATTGGGCTTTTTTTTTTTTTTTTGTCGTTTTCAAACATTGACAATTATGTCAACACATTTTCTCTTCTCCTCTCTTCTCCTCTCCTCTTCCTGTTCTGAGGATTGAACCCAGCAAAGCACTCATACTGGGCAAGTACTCTATTGCTGAGCTACATCCCCAGTCCCATTCATATTTTCATTTTTATAACTTGTTTTTTTTCTCCTTCCCTTATTAATATTAGGTTTATGTTCATATTATGGGATGAGTGTAGAGGTTTGCCACCTCTTTCTAATCCTGAAAATTTTTATAATATAGGAATGGTCTATTCTTTTATAGTTTGTTAGAACTCACAAATAAAAATATTAAGGCTTGGGCCTTTTTGAAGGCTAAAATTTTGACGATTTTTTCAATTTTTATCATAGTTAATGCTATTTATTTATTTAGAGCATTCCAATGTTACAGTGGTACCAACCTACATCTTATATGAGATGCCTATACTTACATCAAATCTATATTGAATCTGTGACAAGCCAGAAAACTGTTTACTGTTTTATTTGTGGAAAACCTTTTAAATGTTTTCTAAGCTTGCATTTTTTTCATTGATTATTGCTTTTATCAGTTAATGTTTTAAAATTTTTCTTTGTATTTCCCTATATAACATCATTGACTTTATATTTTTAAATATATTGACATAAATTTGCTCATAATATCCTCACCCCCCTTTTAAGGTCTAATCTTATTTGTTACATTTAGAAAATCTTGGTTTTGACTGGACTCAAACCTAGAGGTAGACGGTCTCAGAGAGTACAGCCTCTATCATTGGGCAGTCTGTTCCTGACATTTTTCTTTGACCTCCTTCATTTTCTTGGCCCAACGTCTTGCATATTCTTTGGCCTCTTGCTTATTTTTCTTAGTATCCTGTTTCTTCAAGACAACATGGTGGTGGCTGTGTTGCAGCACAGGTGGAGGAACATGAGGCTAAACTGTGCACACTTGTGTTCTAGGTTTCTTACATTCTTTGTTTAGGGCTTTGCTGTAGTCTAGATCTGGGATGTCCCCTGAAGGCACATGGTTGAAGGTTTGGTCCCTAGTCTGTGGCTCTGTTTGGAGGTGGTGGAACCTTGAGGAGGTGGGGCCTAGGGGAGGGAGTGAAGTCACTGGGGTCATACACTGGAAGAAGATATAGGAAACCTGTCCCTTTCCTTACTTTCTTTGCTTCTTGGTCTCCATGAGGTGGGCAGCTCTGGTCCACCATGAGCTTTCTATCAGATGTTCTGTCTCACCACAGGCCCAAAGAAGTGAAGTTAAATAACCATAGACTGAAATCCCTGAAACCTTGGGCAAAAACAAACCTTTTCTCCTTTTTGTAAACCTTTATTTAATTTATTTATTTTTGTGTGATGCTAAGGATAGAACCCAGGGCCTCACCCATGCTCTACCACCAAGCTACAACCCCAAGCCCTTTTCCTCCTTATTTAGTGAATTTTCTCAGGCATTTTGGCACAGTGATAGAAATCTAACTAACACAGGTTTTTATAAACACACACACACACACACATACACACAATTGGTGGATATTTAGAGCTATTAGAAAATCTGTGGGGTTTGCTAGCTCTTTGGGGTCCTAGGTGATGAAGCACAGTAGTATTAGTCTAACCAGAAGTATTCTTTTTCACAATAACCACATGGAGAACATTCAACACAATGCAACCCTGAATAGATCTGCACGTGTTTTTCTCCAGTTCGCCTTGGTTTATAACAGGAATAGCCCTTACTCAGTTGCAGGTGCACACAGCTGTGCTTCACAGGGAAACCTCAGTTTGTCGTTCCAGCCACTGATTCAAACCACATAACCCTTCCGCCCTTTCCTCAGGGGGCCAGAAGCAATGTCTATGGCCATTCACCTCTCATGAAAGGTACCAAGTTTACGTTCATGGTCTACTTTAATGAGTTTCTAACAGTGAGTGGCTGGAAAGATGTTCAGCATCTTCAAGTAGCTGATCACCTGAGGTGCCATTAAAAAAGCATACAATTATCTTATAATTCTAAAAATCACTTCTACATCCATAATTATGTTGCTTTTTGTATGCCTAATATTGTTGTGCCTTTTAAAAAAATCTGGTATTTGATAAAAATTTAAATAAAATAAAAATTTGATAAAAGTCTTATTTATTGTTTTTTTTTAATCAGCTTTAGCATTTATTGATAAAATCTACTTTTGTTTTATATTTGGCTGATTTATGCTTTTATTTTTTACGAATGCATTTCTTCACATTTTGGTGGGGTTTTTTTGCTATTTTTTAACCATCTATTAGTTTACTTATTATAATTTTAAAAATGAATAAATTTTACATTCTGAATTTTCCTTTGGTATTGATGGGTCGTCTCATGTATGTCAGATACAACACTATCACTAATTTCTGAGCAGGGCAACTGTTTTTATGGTTAGTTTCTAATTTTGCTATATTGAGGTCAGAGAAGTTTTAGGATTTATTAAATTCTGCTTTGTGAGATAAGTTATGGCTAATTTTTGTGAATGTTTCTAGGTGCTTATAAAGGATGTGTCTTTTGCCATTAATGAACAGTAATTTATTAATCTGTTAACTGTGTTATTTGGCTTTGCTTTACCATTTCTTCTACTTTGATCTGTCTGATCTGTCATTTTTTGTGACCTGCATTCAACACCCCGTGTGTGTGTGAGTGTGTGTGTGTGTGTGTGTGTGTGTGTATTTTCTCCTTAGAGTTCTATCCCCATCTATCAGATCCACTTCCAAAGTGTATGGTTAGGCTCCTGTAGTTTTATGATTGTCATATGGTGGAATGATCTTGGTGGACTATTCCTTTACCAGTGCCAAATGCCCCCTTTGTCTTATATGATGCCTTTCCCCTGGTACTGCAGTTGTCACATCGACACCTCAAGCACTGCTTTGCACTTTTCTAGCCCTTTATTTTCATCCTCTCTCAGAAATAGGCTATGGCTAGAATTTTTTTTTTTTTTTTTTTTTTTTGGTACTGGGGATTGAACCCATGGTCACTTAACCACTGAGCCACATCCCCAGCCCTGGATTATTGATCTTTTAATGGAGAAACTTAACTCATTTAATTTTTAGTAATCATTAGTATCTTTGTTCTTATTATCTTTGTTCTGTCTTCTAATTTTTCCAATTTTATTTTGCTACAAAAGTAGCCCTTCCTTCATTTTCATAAATTGCTAAGGTTTTTTTGTCCATTTTTTTCTATTTTGTGGCTTGGAATGTACACATTCCATTTCCATTTTTCTAGTTGACCTTTCAATATTTAATGTATGTATTTGTACACATTTTCCCCTTGGTTGCATAAAGAGTGACACAGTATCCACTTCTTCTCTTGGTACAAGAGAAGAATCTTGGCATAATTTCATGTTTCTCAATTTACTATTATCTCACTTCCAAACTTGTTGAGATAATATGGGATTCTACTTCCAAATTGTTATTAAGATTTTTCCTCTTAACAATTATTTTGGCTTGATCTCCACTACTGCAAAAATCTTCATATAAATTTTACAGTCTCTATTTTTCTAAGTCATAACAATAAGTATTACAACAGTTTCTTCACTCTTGATGTTGCTCATTCTCTTTTTAGATTCATTCTTCATTCTGTGGAAGTATATAACTGTATAATTACAATGAGGCAGGGTTATGTGAGAGAGTAAACTTTTGAGGTTCTTGTATTTTTGGAAATGTTTATTTTGAGTTGCTACTTGAATACTGATTAGATTGAATATAGGAGTCTAACTAAGTACATTTTCCTTGTAATTTTGAACACATTATTCCATTAGCTTCGAGTGTGCACCTTTGTTGACGAGAAGTCCAAGGCCAGTTGATGCTTTGCAAATCAATCTTTTTCTTCTTCAGCAACACCATTCACTGGAGAGACTGTTCTTTCTCCATTGTGTGATCTTGGCACCTTTGTCAAAAATCAATTGACCATAAATGTTGGGTTTATTTCTGGGATCTCTGTCCTGTTCCATTTGTCAATTTTCCATTTGTCTGTTTCTATGCATCTGTTTTTATGTGTATGTTTTTAAACTATCAGGCTGTTTTGATTACTATAGTTTTTTAATGGATTTGAAGTCAGATAGTGTGATACCTCCAGGTGTGTGTGTGTGTGTGTGTGTGAGTGTGTGTGTGTGTTTCCCTCCAGATTACTGTGGCTATTCAGGGTCATTGGTGGTTTCATAAACATTTTGTTTCTATTTCTGTGAAAAATGACATTGGCAATTTGGTAGGGATTGCACTGAATTTATAGATTGCATTGGGCAGTATGAACATTTTAACAATATTAAATCTTTTAATCCATGCACATGGGATACCTTTCCATTAATTTGTGTTGCCAACTATTTTTTTCATCAGTGTTTTATAGTTTTCAGTATACAGATCTTTCATCTCCTTGGTTAAGTTTATTTTTATTTCTACATGCTATAGTGAATGGCATTGGTTTCTTAATTTTTTTTACAGATAGTGTGCTGCTAGTGCAAAGAAATGCACTAATGATTTTTGTGTGCTGATTTTGTAGCCTGAAATTTTACTGAATTTATTTATCAGTTCTAACAGTTTTTTTAATGTTCATTTTTTAGTTGTAGTTGGACACAATATCTTTATTTTATTTATTTATTTTTATGTGGTGCTGAGGATTGAACCCAGGGCCTTGCACGTGCTAGGCAAGCACTCTACTGCTGAGCCACAACTCCAGGCCACAGTTTTGTTTTTGTTTTCTTTCTTTTTGGTGTGGAATCTTTAGGGTTTTCTGTACAAGATCATGTTATCAGCAAAGGGATAATTTCACTTCTTCCTTTCCTACTTGGATGTCTGAGAGTGGGCACCCTTTCCTTGTTTCTGAGTATCCAGCATAATGTTAACTGTGGACTTTACATACATGGTATTTATTGTATTGAGGTACCTTGCTTCTATGCCTGATTGATTGAAAGGTTTTAATATGGAAGGAGGATGAATTTTGTCAAATGCTTTTTCTGCATCTATTGAGAGGATCATATAGTTTCCATCCTTCATTTTATTAATGTGCTGTATCACATTATTAATCAGCATATGTTAAACCATCCCTGCATTCCAGGTTTAAATCCCACTTGATCATGGGGAATCATATTTTTAATGTACGGTTTAATTCAGTTGCTAGTATTTTGTTGAGGATTTTTGCATCGATGCTCACCAGGAGTATTGACTTGTAGTTTTGGTTTCTTGCAGCATCTTTTTCTCACTTTGATATCAGGCCTTGTGAAACTTCAATTTGTTGATGTTTTCCCACTTTTTAAGATTTTAAGATATTTTCTTTATTGTTGATATTCTAAAAGGTAATCATAATGTGTCTATTCTGCACTTAGAAGGCAATTTCAAACTGAAAGTTCACACTTTTATTATTTAAAGTTTTAATTGATCACATTTCTTTATTTTACTCTCTCCATTCCTTCTGGGTTTTTTGGTCTGGAATTTATATTTCAGAGACAGGATTTTTCATTTCATATTTTCTTTTTGTCCTTTAGCTATCTAAGGAGAATTCCCTGGTTAATCTTTCAGTGCATCAATTCATTCTTCTGCTGTGTCCCCTCTGCTCTACATCCTACTTTAAAAAAAAATATTTCAACCACTGTATTTTTCTCTTTTTAGTACATACTTTACTCCCCTCCCCCCTCTTCCTGGAGATTTATCCCAGGGGTTACTTTACCTGTGAACTATATACCCAGTCCTTTTTATTTTATTTTTAATTTTTTTTGAGACAGGATCTCATTAACTTGTTTAGGACCTCACTAAATTGATGAGGTTGTCTTTGAACTTGTGATCTTCCTGCTTCAGCATCCCAAGTCACTGGGATCATAGGCATGCACCACTGTGCCCAGCTCACTTTGCTCTTTTTAATAAGGGTTGTTGTTGTTGCTGCTGCTGCTGCACTTCTTCTAATTAACAGATGGGTGATGTTCTCTAGTCTCTCTAAAGATATTAGTTATATTTATTATATTTACATGATATTTAAGATAATTATATTTATTCCTCATTCATCTGTGAATCAAGTGTGAGGCCTCTCTTTCTTGATGTTAGTTTCTCCCAAGTACTTTGGGATTATTGTTGATTTCTCTTTGGGATGGAGAACTCAGTTCATAGCTCTCTGGATGAAGTCCTCCTCCCAGGATCCTTCCTGGGGATCATGAAAGGGAGATAAGATATGCTGCAGGTAGACTGGGCAGGTGGCTTCTTTTTGAGTGTGGGTTCCCTTAGGGGAGGAGGATGCTCTGTCTCTCCAAACTCCAAAGTCCAGGGATGAAATGTCACGTGATGGTGCTTCCAGCTTGCAAGAATTAGCAAATGATCCCCAATAGAAAAAGTCCCTAAGGAACCAGGGCTCCGGGACCATAGCCCCAGGTCTTTCCTGTGCCTTGCATCTGTTGACCCTGAGCCTAGAGACTCCCTGGGCTGCTCTCACTTCCCCATAGTCTCACCCTGTCTGGAGGTGTGTGCTCCTTGGCTCTTGTTCCTTTGACAGTTGAATCCAACCTGCTTTCTCCATTTAGGAATCCCTCAACATTTCTGGTTCACCTAAGGCACTCTTACATGCCAGTTTTTTTCCCCTATCCTTAGCACTGTTACAAATTTATTCTCTAAAGAAATGTCTTCTGTCATCAAGGAAAGGAGGGGAGATGGGCCCAGGTGATCATTCTGAAATCTGTGTCCAACTCCATATTTAAATGTGGCACGGGCTTGAAGGCTGCTGTGGAGTGGCAGTTGACCTGTGTTCTGATAGTTTATAATCTAAGGGAGGTGGTGATGTCAGACTGCTATTTAGGGAGTCCACTAGTTTGATATAATGCATTTTTGAGCAATTATGATACTTGGGTTTAGGGAATGGGTCCTGTGAGACATGGTAAAAGTGGGTTATCTGAGACCCTTGGGAAGGGGACTCCAGGGCTCACTACCTCTCCTAGTGCCACATATAGAATAGATCAGCTAGCATAGACTTTAGAAGTCATCTGGTCCAGGGATTATCATGACCTGGATGAGAAGAAGCGGGCTGCAGAACAGAGTCAATCAGGGGCACTGTGAGAAACACTCCCTCCCCAGCATTCCAAAGGTGGTGGTCTTCCAGGAAGTGTAGAGGCTCAAGGCTGACTTCAGTGCATAAAAAAGTCAGTGCAGGTGGACGTAACCACCTAACACAGCAGATGGCACACACACTGGCATAGTGATCAACACCTATATTTGTTTTATGGGGAAACTGAGGCTCAGAGAAAGTAGATGTCCTACTCAAGGTCACAAAGCCAGCATGCTGCAAACTTGGCTTTGAACCTGTTCAGATCCCAAGCCAGGGTGCTTTCAATATTTGACTTTGGTCCTATAACGGCTTTAGATGGTTACCAGCAGGTTTCAGTGTCCAGTAGTCCAGTACTCATGGACTACTCAGTGCTCATGGAACGTTAATACAAATCACAATGAAAGGGGAGGGGTAGTGAGGGGAGCACCCACTCCATTCTTTCTCACCCTCCGAACTCACTTCACTCTTCTTTACACCTGGCCACAGGTCATCATGCAGATGTGTATGTGTGCACCTGTGTCCTTGGACACCCACCTGAAGAGCAGCAGCACAGCTTGGGGGAAGGTCTGAAAATTGTTGTTCCGGTTGATCTCTGTGGTGTCATTCAGGGCAATTTTTCCAAATACCTAGCAGAGGAAAGGAAGAGAAATTCAGTGACCTGTGAGAAGAGGACCCTAATTTCCAACACTGTTTTTCAATAGTCTCTTTAGGGGACAAAGTAACTCAAAGATTGTCCAAACTATACCCCAGAGTCTCCTGATGTGACCTGGACAGCACCTGCAGCCCCCCCCCCCCAGTCTTGGTCCCAATTATCCGTGGACATATGTAAGAAGAATTGTGCCCTTGGCCCTCAGCCAAGGTCCCCACAGCCAGCAGGAGCTGGGGCTGAGAGGAGTGGAGGCCGTGATCAGGACCTGCTGGGTGGGGACGCAGGGTCCACTGCCTTCCTTTGTTTGCCATTTTAGCTCCTATGTCCAAATACTCCCAATTTAGGTTATTGGATTTGGAGTGATATTGAATGGGTGATCTGGGGCTTGGACAAATTTAATTCATCCCTGAAATCAGAGGTTTCTTCTTTTTTATTTTTTCCTGCCCCTTTAAAACTATGCTTATCCTGGAAACTGGTCCCTTTTATCAGGTGTCAAGGGAGGGTTTTTCATCACAAAGGTTTGGACTACCAACCTTCAGGTCTTTCTGCACTGAGCAAGTGGGGAGCTTGCTTAAGCTCCTGGCCAGTGTGCAGTGCTGGGGAGGGGAAGGGCTGTCCCAGTCTGACTTGGGGAACTCAGCCGGAGCCTGAGGAGGCTGAAGAACTCTGGTTTGGGGAAGGAGAAGGAGTAGTGGGCATCTGGGAAGGGGAGGCCCCAGGAACTGCTGCATGTTTGAGGAGGCACTACCTTCCTCCTGTTCTCCTTTCCCTCTGTCTTCTTCCCTCTCAGTCCTTAGTTTCTGAATGTCACTGGTTGGAGGGGAATTCTCAGGCCCATCAGACATGGGCAAAGCAGGGGGGTGCAGATCAGAGTCTTCTTGCTGTTTCTAAGAAGGGGTTGTTTTTTTCTGAGGCCAACTGCATAATTCTGAGTTTTTCCTTACCAGTTACAGAACCTAGGCCTGGGGCCCTGGTCAGGGAGTGAGGGTGGGGAGCTCTTCCTACCTGCATCCCAATGACTGCATAGATGAAGAACAGCATCACTATCAGAAGGGCCACATAGGGCAGGGCCTGGAAGGAATCATAGAGGACACCAATTAGGCCCAGGGGACAAGATCCCTTCCCAGGGAGCACTGTGTCCCCTTCTCTGCAGCCATCAGCTGCTGCCTGACTTTGGGCAGGGGGCACTTCCAAGAGCCCAGAAGAACTGGGCACCTAGAAGAGCCTGAGAAATGAGCATTGACTTCTCATTTTAGTTTTTTATTTGCTTTCTGTGGTGCTGGGGATGGAACCCAGGCAGGTGACGCTATAGCACAGAGATCCACCCCGGCAGGCTGCAGCACGATGGATGCAGTGCCGCACTACTGCAGTGAGCAGAGTCAGGGGGAGCTGAACCTCCTTCAATTGAGCAGAAATATTAGCATGAGGAAGGAGAGAGTGGTGGAGGATGTGCTCCCCGCTGGCCATTGACACCTGGGGAGAGGTGGAGGAGGTGGGCTGTGCCCCTCTTTATTCAGCTGACTTTTGCTCCACTAGTTGTGGGAGCAGGATTTACTGTTGTGAAAATACTTTCCAGATACCAGAGCTTGGGCAAGTTACCGAACCTCTCTGAGCTGCAGTTTCCTCATCTGAGCGTGGGAACAACAATGGCCTCTGGGGGTTTGTGGCGTTTAAATGACTTGAGGCTTACTGAGTGCTTAGTGCACTACCTCGCAGAGTCACATGCCAAAGGTTTTTATTCACTCAACATATTATCTGACAACTTAATTTTCCAGAGCCTCAGCTGGGGAAAGCACTTTGGGCCTCCACACCAGTTACTTTTGTGGGATCCAAGAGCCCACATGCTTGCTCCGAAGGAAATGCGTCGCCATCGGCCACACAACACTAGATGGCGCTGCGAGCTCACTCAATGCTTTTCTCATCCAGCTGCACTGGGCTTCTCAGAGTGCCATTCCTCATGGTCACCCCAGCCTGTTGTCTCTTTCCAGCCCAGGGAAACGTTGGGGTTGGGGCTATACGGCCACCACAGCTTTTGACCCTAGGGATCAGTAACCAGGTCAGCCCCCAGTTCTGCTTCCATGAGGGCTGAGGATTCAAATCCCCAAAGAGCCGCCCCTCCCCCACCTGGGGGCTGAGCAGGGCCATGTGGGGAGCTGCAGCTCCTTGTTAGGTGGGGAGTCAGCTTGGGCTTGGGCTGGAGGAGCACTGGCTCCCAGAGTGCAACCAGTTTGAGGCCTTGACTGCTGGTCCAGCAGATGGTTTCTGTCCCTGCCTGGAGGGGACTGCCTTTGGGAGGGGCCTCCAAAGCAGGGAAGCAGGGGCCCTAGAGTATCTATCCTCTGGCCAGCCCCAGGCCCCTTACTTCCTGTGACAGCTCTGGCTCCAACCACAGCAGGAGACATACCTGGACCAGAGACCAACTCTATGCCCTATCTGAGGCCTGGACTGGCCAGGGCAGGGGACATGGAGATTGTTCTTTAGAGATGATGATTCTCCATCCTGGGGACTCTGAGAGTGGCACTTCCACAGGAGGAGAGAGGCCTGCCTTCTGCGCGGGGCCAGGGGAGCAGTTAGGGGCTGCTGCCGTCATCTCCAAGGAATCCCAGGGACCTAACTGCTTTGCTTCTCTTTAACTTCACACTTACATAACACTCCTCAGAGCTGCCAGAGGTGACTGTGAGCCTGTTTTTACAGGTGGAAAACGATGGCTGAGAAAAGGAAATTAATTATGCAGTAGTCAGGCAATCCTGGGGCCCTATGAGGGGTCTGCTTTCCTGGAGTGGAGTGACACCAGGGTCCCTTAGAGTTTGGCTAGGACCACAACCAGGTAGGGTCAGCAGACTTGGCTGGGAGATTCCCAAACTGCAGGAATTTGAGGGGGCCAGAGTGGTTTCAGATGAGCTAGACCCATGTTTTTCTGATATGTTCTATCCCACATAATCCCTTTGTCCAGTAAATTCTTGAGGAGAAATACATAAATGAGAGGAGAGAGAGAACCACCTCAGCCTCCCCTCTCCTCCCACCCTCTGTACCCTGCCTTCGGGGAAATGTGGGGCTCTGGGAGTTGACTTTTGAAAAACCACAGATCTAGTTTCATCCTCTCATCTCAGAAATGAGGAAAGCAAGGTGCCTGGTGGGAAGTTGCCCTCACACACATGCTGAGCAGCAGAGGAAGGGCCAGCCCCAGGCCCCTTGCTTCCTGTGACAGCTCAGGTCCAGGGAGCTCCAGGGGTGGGGGCAGGGGAGCCCCAGCTCACCCCAGGATCCCAGAGGTTGTCTCCCACTGCATTGGGAAGGTGGCCTGGTTACCTGGAAGGATTTGATGAAGGTCCACAGCAGGGTCCGAATACCCTCCCCACGGCTCAGCAGCTTGACCAAGCGCATGACCCGGAAGAGGCGGAAGAAGGTGATGGAGATGCGGGAGTTCTCCTCTGCATTCTGGAAGCCATTGGCAATAGGTGCAGTTAACACAGCAAGAGAGAGGTGGTACAGGAGGGGCTCTCTGAGAAACAGTCTTTGGCTGAGGGGAGGCAGGCTGGGGTGGGTCAGCTGCACTGGACTCTTCCCTCAGGTCCTTGCTCCCTGGTCATGGGTGGGAGGCCAGTGTCCAGCTTTCTGGGTCAATAGCCAGTCATGTGGTCTCTGCAGAGCCAGGCTGTGCCTAGGCCCTGAGACTGTGGTCCTGATATCCCACCCTCTCTCTTCCCCTTCATTCCTAGTTTGTGATGCCCTGCATGGAGCAACAGAAAGCTCCAGAAGGAGCTCCCATATACTTTGGAAACTAGGCCTAGAGCTGGCTGCCCTTGGAGTTCCTGGCTCTCCTCGGACTGGCTCAGCTGAGGGTCCTACACCCTGAGTGGGACCTGGCACTCTGTGAGGAGACTGGGTGGCAGCTGTCCCTTATGACTGCATTCAGGGGTTCTGACGGGTGGGGTGGGCTGCCCACTGAAGGGGTCTCAAGCCCTGGCTGCTCTGGACTCTAGCAGTTGTCTTGTGTCACCTCCCCCTGCTTCCCACAGCCCTTGCCCCTAGTGGCTACAGGGGAAAGGGCTGGGGAGTAGGGTGCTGCTGGTGCTGGGTGAGGGTCTGGCTTGCAGCACTTGCCTTCCTCGCAGGAAGGAAGCTGGTGGCCTTCTAACTCCCTTCTTCCCTGGGGCTTCTAGGAGGCTCCACCCTGTCCAGGCTGTGGAAGACCCTGGAAGGGGTGAGGGCACAGAGGGGAGGTAGGGAGGTGTCACTTGCAGTGATCCCTGGAAAGTCTGGGCCTTGCTCTCTGAGGACCAAGGGATCTATTTAGGATGGATCATCTCCCTCCCTGGAGTCCTGGAGGGAAGGGGAAGAAGAGGGTCGGCATCGAGGCCAAGGCAAGCTGGAGTGGGTTTATGACTCTTGGGTTGCAGGGCTCTCACCTTCAGCTGTGGGACCTGGAGGAGCAGGAGAGTGTGGGCACATGCCTGGCCAGGGTTCCAAAGACAGGACAGACAGCCCTGTCCTCTTCTGCCTCCAGACCCAAGAACTACAAGAACTGACCTCCCGTCTTGAGCCCCCTGCCCACAGGAGCAGCAGGCTGTGCTGCAGAGCCTGGGGAGCTGGCACCTGGCCACCCTCAAGAGAGCCACTTCCCGCCTCCCAGAGCCAGTGCAGCTCACCCGGCCCTGCCAGCACCAGGAGAGAACCGGCCCTTGAGTTTCCTGTTACTGTTCCCGTTCCAGGTTCCCCTCAAGGAAGGAGGGGTCTCTGGCGGCCCACTCCACCCCCTCCTTTCCTCTTCCTGTATTTTACACTATTCCCTTGAAATGGCCCAAGCCTGTTTCCACTCCCTGAACACCCCACTAGCCCGAAGCCCTTGAGGGCTCCTCAGGTCTGTCCACTCTAACCTGACCTGGTGGGATGGCTTCAGGGACCACTCGTCTCTTACTCAGATCAGGAGACCCCTGAGGGAGCAGGGAAATTCAGAGGCAGATTTTACAGCATGCCCATTTCCCCCTTGGAGGTTCTGCATAGAAACCAAGCCAGAGGGTCTCTCCTGGCTTTTGGACCCTCCAGACAGGAGAAGAGTCAACATATTTCTTCGGTTTCAAAATCAGAGCTGCCTCAGCTCCTCCTAGGGCTCCTGCTCCCTATAAGGCAGGGGGCAGACTGTGGTGTTGGGGGCCTGTCACATGGGCTCCCTGAGGGCCTGGAGAGGGACCTGCAGGCAGCAGTCCTTGTGCTGTCCCTGGGCCTGCCCCTGCCTGTTTATTTTGAGGTCTTTGATGGCCTCCTCCTCTATTTCTATCACCTGTGTATCTACTTGAAATTCTATTTTCTCCCCTTAGCAAGAGGTTTGTTCCCCCAGAGGAGCTCACAGAGGAGGCTTAGGGTTTTATAACCCAGCTGTCAGTTCCACTGTGTTCCAGAAAGGAGAAAAAGAAGAAAGAACAAGCTTAAGTGGGGGAACTTCAGCTGTGGGTGTCAAGAATCTGAGAAGTTGGTGCCACTGGGACAGTTGGATCTGATGAATTAAAACAAAGCCACGCAGACCCCAAACCCAAGCTCGCTGTTTGGATTCCACTGTGGCGTTCAGAGCCCACCCGAGCTGCAGCTTCCCAATGCTGCTCTAGAAGAATAAGCACATTGCCAGGGGGCAGGACAATTTCCCATAGTAAAGGGAATGACAATGCCATGAGAAGGCAATCCAAGTGCTGAAGCCCCATGAAGCAGGGAAGGATGTCCACGGCTCAGCCTTTCCCTGGCAGCCTTTGGCCAGGTAGTCATAGGCTACAGAGGGGTCACCACCAATCCACCCAACCTCGCCTCCGGTCTGCTGACTTTCGGGATTTGAGGAATCAACCCACTGGTCTTTCTAAAAACTCACACTTGGCTCAGTTTGAAATGTGTGATGGCACCTTTGACGGGGGGGGGGGGGGGGGAGGTTGTACAGGGACACTTCAAGGTCACATTGAGAGGCATCTCTACCACTTTAGCCAAAGGGGGTCATGGACTCCTACATTAGGAATGGTCCAGTTGACAGAGTTTGTTTTTCTGCATCCACTTTGCTGCAGAAAAGTGGGTTTAGCCCAAATGAAACGAACGGCAGGAATTTAGAAAGATGAGAGGGGCACCATGGTTGGAGTGACTAGAAGTTCAACTGCCCTCTTAGGAACAAATGCCAGCATAAAGCTTCTGCAGCGGCCTTCCACTCAGAGCCGAGGGAGGCTGGTAGTCACGGACATGGATAGCAGGAACTCATCCTCCTCCTCTCAGCTTCTTGGCTAGACCCCCTCTCTTCTCCTCTTCCTGGAATCCTATGGCGGCTCTCGCAGGTGGTCTCTGCAAATTTCCCATGTCAGATTAAGCTTAGTCTCAGTCCTCGGGATGTTTAACAGGAAATGGCCCGTGGGTCCAATTCTCTCCCAGTGGCTCATTAGATAGACAAGATCACAGGGAATTACCACCCAAAGGAGCTGGGGGAGGCAGAACACCGTTACGCGTGCAGCCTTTTCACAGTTCACACGAGCACAGGCAGAGCAAGGCACTCGACGGACACGTGGTTACATGCAAGGGAGCCAGGCTGGGCTCCTGAGACTCTGGAGGTTGGAGTGGGTAAGAGTGGGGGTGCTAGAGGGTTCACAGAAGCTGGGCACGTGGTTTGGAGGGTCGGTCTTACCATAGAGGGAGAGCATTGGGTATGTTCAGCTGGCTTTAAAGAAAGGCAGACAGAGATAAGCTGTAATGAGTCTCCAACGAAGATGCCCGGTATTCTAGGTCTTGGCTAACACAGGAGAGACACAGTGGCAGGAGAGGGCACAAGGAAACAAGTGAAAGAAATACAAAAGCGTGGGCCTGGCAGGCTCAGGGACACCACCATGCGTGTGTCTGTGCATCGCTGGGCCTCATGTCTAACAGGGCCCCACAAGGCTTTCGTTTCTGGCCATGAACTGAGTAACTCACACCCATGATGAGCAGATCGGTCTTCTGGACTTTGAGAATGGAGGTTGGTTTTGTTTTAGGTCAGCCTGGTACTCTAAGACCACCTCCAACGACTTCCACCTGCCTCTCTGCACTTCAGCTCCCGCCAGGCAGTGAAGGCAGGACCTGCTCGTACCCTGTGCCTGTCCTGCCCAACCCAGGTAAGCAAAGGGGCTCTTAGCCTCAGGGGAAGACTGGATTCTAGTTATCATGAAGGAAGATCCAGGAGGTGGCCCTCAGCCCTCTCCCCAGCAGGGGCTGGTTCTCAAGGCAGCGGCTCAGGCAGGACCCGGCCTTGCTTGGCTGTAGGTCCATAGGTGTGGAGAACCTTGGCCACTGGCATGAAATAATAAGTGTAGACTTGCTTGTTCACCTTGGAAGACCTGCACATAATTTAGGACATTATTATTAACACCCCAGGAAACTGGGCTCTTGGGTCTGACTGCTTCCGCATTGGGCAGAAACTCAGGCGCCTGTCTCTGGGAAGATGACCCTGCTTTTTGGATCCAGCACATAGAGCTCAGCCTCTTCTGATCATAACCGTCTGAGCTCTAACTCTTTCTACAAAATCTTCAGTCTGCTCTCCATCCCCCACTCTCAGTTGGTTTCCCTTGTATTTCTGTTTTAAAGGTATAAATGAGGAAAATGTGTAACAGAATTTTTTGAAGGATAGAAATGTGCATAAGTAGACATTTGCTTGCAGCCTGAAAATACTTCCTTGGTAACAGATTTCTCAGCAAATTCTTTTTTTAAAAATTTCTCATAGAAAGTTGGTAAGATGTCCTTTTGTAAGGAATGGTGGTGATATAAGGTGAGGTTAGGGAAGAGGAGGCAAGGGACACTTCTCTAGTCATTTATAGAACACATTCTAAACCTCGGCTTCTGTTTTGTGAGGATTACCAGCTGCTGGGTCAGTCCTCATACCTGGAAGGAGTGGAGTCACTAGGATTTGGCTAGAGGGCTGATATTGGACATGGTGACAGACGGGCAGACAGACACACACACATACATATGCACTCATACAATAGAAATTTCTTGCAAAGCACCCAACTCCCTTTTCCTTAGGTGTGTGACAGATGATGTTCAGGTCTAGGTATCTTCTGGCATCTTCCTGAGCCCCAGGCTGGTCTACTGAGTGTTCCCTGTGTTGATGGCTGAGGAGTTCTATGTTTCTGGGATCCAGTGGGATGGGAACTGGGAGGGCAGAGGGAGGGATTCTGCACTACCTATAATGCCAGGGGATAAGGCAGAGTTCTCAGGAGGTGTGGGCTCTTGCTTCCTCTTAGATCCACCTGAAAACCAACACAGCTGCCCATTACTGCCCAAGACAATTCATAACCCTACTGCTTCACCTGGCCCAATGAGCCACTAAAACACAACACAAAACAAAACTTTCTTTAACCTCTTAAACATTCAGAATTCTTTTTTTTTTAACTTTCATCTTGCCATTTTTTCTCCTATTGCTTTTTATTTAGGACTTTCTGGTTCCAATTAAGATCTCATATATTTGAATCGTTTTATTTCAAGATTTAAACTTTAGGTGTAATCACCTTGGTTATAGTCTATTATATTCATAAGTACTAGTTTGATAATCCTTATGAGTGTCTCTGTAATAGCAGATAAGAAGAGTCGGGAGGAGCTTTGGGTAGCTGAGAGGAAGGCTCTTGATCTCTCTGTTGGCTTCTGCAGCCTAAGTAATGACAACTTTCCAAAGAGCCTCACTTTGGAAGAGTCTAGAAACTCATGGATTAACATTAAAGCCAGGCCCTTCAGAGGACTTTTGACTTGCTGGAGCTGTGTTGCCTTTAACATCTCACACAAACTTTTTACAAGATCCATAGTCTCAAAAATAAAGAGCCATTCGTAGTCACTCAGAAAGCAATCACTGAGTGAGTTCTATGTGGGAACAGTGAAGAAGCCTAAGACAGCCCTTGTCCTCTGAGAACTCTCAGCTGCTCATACCCAGGCAGACAGGCAGGACACTTCCTAGATGATCCTATAGTCATTTGAATCTTTGGTGACTGCCCAGCTGCAAGTGGAGTTCCTTGGTGAACTGAAGGGGACCTTGGACTCACTGGCCCTGGGCATTTGTGTGTCCCAAGCTTGGCCCAGAGACATGTTTGAACTGTTTGCCACTGTCTTTGTGAGTACCTGGTATGTGCTCTGAGAAGCTACCTAGCAGGAGTTCTGCTTTGGAATCTACTTTCACCTCACTCTACAGCCTGGAATTCTTGTGCATCAGTCTCTAATCCCCTCCCAGATTTCCTCTCCGTTCTTATGAGTCAGTTTATAGTTTCTCTGTCAGTGGTCTTCCTAGGGAAAAAAGGGGTGGTAAGATTCCCAAATACTTGCCTCATATGCTTGCAGACCCTTCCAGCATCCCCTTTCTACCAGGAGCCAACAAAACTGTTTTCCCAGCCTAAACATTCTGGCTGATTTTAATATGGCACTGTCTCCACTAATGGAAGGCAAGCAATAAAGTTCTGAGCAGCCAATTTGTTCAGCTTTGTTTTCCAATGATCTGGTAATTTAGGATTTCAAGATATTGGGGCAATTAATTTAATCTGTTCATGCAATCTATATAAATGGAATGAGATAATTCTTTCATAGTGGGGCATTTTCAGAGTCCCCGTGAGTGGTTCCAGGCTCAGGGGAAACAGAAAGCAAAAGCCATTACCACATTTTAATATCCTCATGCCAACTGCCTTGGTTTGGTGTAACTGGCAGTGGTGATGGAATGGCCCTGGGTTGCTCACGGGAGATCTTCCCTGGAAAAACTTTTCTGAATTGAGTTCAGGGTCATATTAGAAGCATCACCTCAGTAGATGAAGTCTTTGTTTCTGGAATTTTCCACTGTTCCTTGTCATTGGGCACAAGCCCTAGACCTCACCATGGAGGCTGAGGGATAAAGCCCGGGGAATGCCAGAGGCCAGGGAGACATATTCTCCTAGGTGGAGGGGATTTTCCCAGGAGGATGGTGTGAAGATCCATGGAATTGTTTCCCAGTTGTCACATCACACCCTCTGGAGAGTTAAAAGGTAGTTGAAAAGTAGCTTTTCATCATATAAAAAAGTTTTAAAAATATTTTTAAAGCATAGCCAGGCGGTAAGGATTACTAGGAATTCAGGGTGGGGCAGCAGGTACGTAGGCTAGAATATCCAACCAAGTTGTCTTCCAGGACATCCTCTTGAGATCAGGGGCTAGAGAGCATTTTGAAGGGGTCATGGGTCATGGCTACGCTGCCTTTGTTGTGTTGACTTTGAAAAGGGGCAGACAATCCTCTGATGCCCTCTAGGAAAGATTGGCTCTTGGCCTTGCAGAGGATGCCCCATCCGAAGGGCTGCCATTGAGAAGCAATGGCCATGATACCAGGGTCATTGAGATTCCATGTCACACTGAAACAGGGTCAGTGCAATGTCATGGGGATACATGAATCTTTTACTGGCTGCTCTGCCACAGGAACACTTGCTTTATTTATTTATTTTCAAATCTCTGATATAAATTCCACTCCAAGCCACCTGAAGTTCTGGGTCCAACTGACAGCCCCCTGTCCCCGCTCAAACTCTGCATCTCTGTCTGCTCGACTGTAAGACAGGACAGTTGGTTCTGTCGGGACAGTGTCATGGTGTGGCCAAAGACTGAGGGATTGGTGTTTTGTTGCTGAGAACTGGAGGTCACCTAGGGCATGCTGTACACAGAGAACTGAGAATGGCAGGAGTCATGAGTTTCTAGAGACACTAGACACCAAGTTCATGGCCAGGAGCCAGGATGTGCAGGTCAAGGGTAGGTGGGCTTCTTAGTATCTTTTTGTCTCCTTTCCCACCAGGAGACCTGCACATAACCTAAGTGTGGCCTGCTAGATGTGGAGGAGTCATGAGATGCTGAATCTTAAAGGCACTGGAGATGGCAAAGGAGAAAGAAATTCTAAGGAGGTCAAAGTGAGCCTCATAAAGATGAAAGAAGAGGTTACTTGTCATGAGAGATGCAAGTTTCAGTAAGCACAAGTCAACTGGGATGTACAGAAGCTGAGGGTAGGTGTCAATGGCTTTCAGATTTAAGAACAAATGAAGGAAATATGGCTACCTGAAAGCAATTTTGCTGCAGAATTCCTGTTTTGTTCTGGTGTGAATGGAGAGATGGAAATGGATATGTGGAGGAGGAGTGCTGGGCAGAGGAATATGAGGGAAAAGGACTGGTGGGAAAGGGCAGAGAGCAAGTAAGGACAAAGCCTAGAGGGGAGAGAGGGGAGTGGAAGAGCAGCCCCCACCCTGCTCCCATGGCCAGTCCATGAAACCAACTGGCTTCCACCTCTCTCTCCAAGCCACCTGAATGGGCCCTTCAGAGTGGAATTTCAGTGAGAAGGGCCCTTCTTGTGTTTTTGTGGTGACTGCATGCAGCTGCAATAGTCCTTCAGGTACAGAGCATGGGGATTGCTGGTTCTAGGTTCTCCCTGTCTTTTCATGCTGAACTAAGGAAGGGGGACAGTTTGACTAGCTTGTGCTATTAGCTGTACAGTGGCCAGTTTAGGTGGCTGGAGGTGGCTTAAACCAGGAATCACTCTGTTATTCATCTGCAACCTGATGGCTCTCCGGGTGCTAGGACCTGCTAGAAACACACACCAAACAAAAAGGATTACAAAATGGCCAAGGTGGTTTAGTCTCGCCCTGAGAAGGACAGCCAATATCCAGTCATTCAAACATACAGTCCCAAGAAGAATGAATGAATGGAATC